CGAGAAGTGGACGAGACTTAACGATAACAAAAGCATCTCCAAAGCAAATGCAGCGTGATTTGTTCCAGCAGTTCAACAACAGACTTTTTAGTTATTATTTTGGAGTTTAATTTAATGTGATTAAACAAAAGTTATTTAACAAGGAGTGAAATCGTAACGGCTATATCGCCCGATTGCAAGGTTCTCGTTTTTCATGTTCAAACCAAAACTCGCTTAAAAAAAGCTCGCTCGCTGGTTTTGTTAAACAAAAGACAAACCGTTAAGAAAATATTAAATGTAAAGTGGCTTAATAGTTTTAAAATATTTGAAATTCACTAACAAGAATTATATAACAAAATCATTTAGCAAAGTTGTACTGTAGCACATCTCTTCGAAATAAATCTTGAAATAGCGTTTACTGAAGCTCATATTTGCGAACGTGTAGTTTTCCTTGTATTAATTAATCAATAGATCACTGCTGTCGGGTTTTTAGTTTTTTTTTTTTAATAAATTAATTGTTCACGTGCTCGTGATTATTAGCATTAATGCATTTATTGTTAGATAACATAAGTGTAGATTATAGATTGTACAAATTTTAATAAAATGTAGTTATATCATTCTTTCTATGACCTTATTTTTCTTCTTTAGAAAAGAGTCCATTGCTGGATAGAGGCTTTCGTAAGAAAGGAGATCGCGCCGGGTGCGGTTCCAACAACTGTACAAGTGTGGTACAAATAGTGGTACTGAGTGCGGTCGCAACAACTGTCCAAGTGTGGTTTAAATGGTAGTGCCGAGTGCGGTCGCAACAACTGTCCAAGTGTGGTACAAATGGTCGTACTGAGTGCGGTCGCAACAACTGTCCAAGTGTGGTACAAATGGTCGTACCGAGTGCGGTCGCAACAACTGTCCAAGTGTGGTACAAATGGTCGTACTGAGTGCGGTCGCAACAACTGTCCAAGTTTGGTTTAAATAGTAGTGCCGAATGCGGTCGCAACAACTGTCCAAGTGCGGTACAAATGGTCGTACTGAGTGCGGTCGCAACAACTGTCCAAGTGTGGTACAAATGGTCGTACTGAGTGCGGTCGCAACAACTGTTCAAGTTTGGTTTAAATGGTAGTGCCGAGTGCGGTCGCAACAACTGTCCAAGTGTGGTACAAATGGTCGTACTGAGTGCGGTCGCAACAACTGTCCAAGTGTGGTTTAAATGGTAGTGCCGAGTGCGGTCGCAACAACTGTCCAAGTGTGGTACAAATGGTCGTACTGAGTGCGGTCGCAACAACTGTCCAAGTGTGGTACAAATGGTCGTACTGAGTGCGGTCGCAACAACTGTCCAAGTTTGGTTTAAATGGTAGTGCCGAGTGCGGTCGCAACAACTGTCCAAGTGCGGTACAAATGGTCGTACTGAGTGCGGTCGCAACAACTGTCCAAGTGTGGTACAAATGGTCGTACTGAGTGCGGTCGCAACAACTGTTCAAGTGTGGTTTAAATAGTAGTGCCGAGTGCGGTCGCAACAACTGTCCAAGTGTGGTACAAATGGTCGTACTGAGTGCGGTCGCAACAACTGTCCAAGTGTGGTACAAATGGTCGTACTGAGTGCGGTCGCAACAACTGTCCAAGTGTGGTTTAAATGGTAGTGCCGAGTGCGGTCGCAACAACTGTCCAAGTGCGGTACAAATGGTCGTACTGAGTGCGGTCGCAACAACTGTCCAAGTGTGGTACAAATGGTCGTACTGAGTGCGGTCGCAACAACTGTCCAAATGTGGTTTAAATAGTAGTGCCGAGTGCGGTCGCAACAACTGTCCAAGTGTGGTACAAATGGTCGTACTGAGTGCGGTCGCAACAACTGTCCAAGTGTGGTACAAATGGTCGTGCCGAGTGCGGTCGCAACAACTGTCCAAGCGTGGTACAAATGGTCGTACTGAGTGCGGTCGCAACAACTGTCCAAGTTTGGTTTAAATGGAAGTGCCGAGTGCGGTCGCAACAACTGTCCAAGCGTGGTACAAATGGTCGTACTGAGTGCGGTCGCAACAACTGTCCAAGTGTGGTTTAAATGGTAGTGCCGAGTGCGGTCGCAACAACTGTCCAAGTGCGGTACAAATGGTCGTACTGAGTGCGGTCGCAACAACTGTCCAAGTTTGGTTTAAATGGTAGTGCCGAGTGCGGTCGCAACAACTGTCCAAGTGTGGTACAAATGGTCGTACTGAGTGCGGTCGCAACAACTGTCAAGGTGTGTGGTACAAATGGTCGTACTGAGTGCGGTCGCAACAACTGTTCAAGTGTGGTTTAAATGGTAGTGCCGAGTGCGGTCGCAACAACTGTCCAAGCGTGGTACAAATGGTCGTACTGAGTGCGGTCGCAACAACTGTCCAAGTGTGGTACAAATGGTCGTACTGAGTGCGGTCGCAACAACTGTCCAAGTTTGGTTTAAATGGTAGTGCCGAGTGCGGTCGCAACAACTGTCCAAGTGTGGTACAAATGGTCGTACTGAGTGCGGTCGCAACAACTGTCCAAGTGTGGTACAAATGGTCGTACTGAGTGCGGTCGCAACAACTGTCCAATTTTGGTTTAAATGGTAGTGCCGAGTGCGGTCGCAACAACTGTCCAAGTGTGGTACAAATGGTCGTACTGAGTGCGGTCGCAACAACTGCACAAGAGTGGTACAAATGGTAGTACTGAGTGCGGTCGCAACAACTGTCCAAGTGTGGTACAAATGGTCGTACTGAGTGCGGTCGCAACAACTGTCCAAGTTTGGTTTAAATGGTAGTGCCGAGTGCGGTCGCAACAACTGTCCAAGTGTGGTACAAATGGTCGTACTGAGTGCGGTCGCAACAACTGTCCAAATTTGGTTTAAATGGTAGTGCCGAGTGCGGTCGCAACAACTGTCCAAGTGTGGTACAAATGGTCGTACTGAGTGCGGTCGCAACAACTGTCCAAGTGTGGTTTAAATGGTAGTGCCGAGTGCGGTCGCAACAACTGTCCAAGCGTGGTACAAATGGTCGTACTGAGTGCGGTCGCAACAACTGTCCAAGTGTGGTTTAAATGGTAGTGCCGAGTGCGGTCGCAACAACTGTCCAAGTGTGGTACAAATGGTCGTACTGAGTGCGGTCGCAACAACTGTCCAAGTGTGGTTTAAATGGTAGTGCCGAGTGCGGTCGCAACAACTGTCCAAGCGTGGTACAAATGGTCGTACTGAGTGCGGTCGCAACAACTGTCCAAGTGTGGTACAAATGGTCGTACTGAGTGCGGTCGCAACAACTGTCCAAGTGTGGTTTAAATGGTAGTGCCGAGTGCGGTCGCAACAACTGTCCAAGCGTGGTACAAATGGTCGTACTGAGTGCGGTCGCAACAACTGTCCAAGTGTGGTACAAATGGTCGTACCGAGTGCGGTCGCAACAACTGTCCAAGCGTGGTACAAATGGTCGTACTGAGTGCGGTCGCAACAACTGTCCAAGTGTGGTTTAAATAGTAGTGCCGAGTGCGGTCGCAACAACTGTCCAAGTGTGGTACAAATGGTCGTACTGAGTGCGGTCGCAACAACTGTCCAAGCGTGGTACAAATGGTCGTACTGAGTGCGGTCGCAACAACTGTCCAAGCGTGGTACAAATGGTCGTACTGAGTGCGGTCGCAACAACTGTTCAAGTGTGGTTTAAATGGTAGTGCCGAGTGCGGTCGCAACAACTGTCCAAGTGCGGTACAAATGGTCGTACTGAGTGCGGTCGTAACAACTGTTCAAATTTGGTTTAAATGGTAGTGCCGAGTGCGGTCGCAACAACTGTCCAAGTGTGGTACAAATGGTCGTACTGAGTGCGGTCGCAACAACTGTCCAAGTGTGGTACAAATGGTCGTACTGAGTGCGGTCGCAACAACTGTCCAAGTGTGGTACAAATGGTCGTACCGAGTGCGGTCGCAACAACTGTCCAAGTGTGGTACAAATGGTCGTACTGAGTGCGGTCGCAACAACTGTCCAAGTTTGGTTTAAATGGTAGTGCCGAGTGCGGTCGCAACAACTGTCCAAGTGCGGTACAAATGGTCGTACTGAGTGCGGTCGCAACAACTGTCCAAGTGTGGTACAAATGGTCGTACCGAGTGCGGTCGCAACAACTGTCCAAGTTTGGTTTAAATGGTCGTGCCGAGTGCGGTCGCAACAACTGTCCAAGTGCGGTACAAATGGTCGTACTGAGTGCGGTTGCAACAACTGTTCCAAGTATGGTCACACCTATGCCGGTAGTTGTTGGGGGCACTAAGCTCGAAATTGTTGACGAATACGTTTACCTGGGACAAATAGTCCGACTAGGTAAGTCCAACTTCGACCGATAGGTCAATCAACGGATTCAACTCGGCTGGGCAGCGTTTTGGAAATTACGACACATCTTCTCGTCTGGTATACCTCAAACTCTGAAAACTAAAGTGTACAACCAATGCGTGTTGCCAGTGATGACTTATGGATCTGAGACGTGGTCCTTTACTGCTGGCCGTATGAGGTCGCTCAGCGAGCTATGAAGAGGACTATGATCGGGGTTTCTCTACGTGATAAACTCAAAAATGAGGATATCCGCAGTAGAACCAGAGTGACCGACATAACCCAACGGATTGGTAAGCTGAAGTGGCAATGGGCTGGCCATATAGCTCGAAGAACCGATAACCGTTGGGGAAAAAAGGTTCTCGAGCAGCAGCCTCGTACCGGTAGGCGTAGTGTAGGACGACCCCCCTTTAGATGGAGTGACGACCTGATAAGACATGCAGGAAGTCGATGGATGTAGGTGGCTCAGGACCGTGCTTTGTGACAAATAATGTGGGGGGGCTATGTTCAGCAGTGGCTTGTGAAGGGCTGTAATGATAATGATGATGAAGTGAAAGCCTCTTTATAACGACCATTAACAATTTACACTAATCGATATACATAACTCGGGGAGCCATATCTAGATAGCATGTGTAAAAAATAACGTTCCTAGTTGGTAATTATTTACAGAAAAAGGTTCAAATAAAACACAGGATCATTAAAATAGAATATTTATTTAGCGCTATTCCCATATGGATGTGTGGTAGCGAGGATCGTCGAAGAGTAGTGGCCTGGTTTGCGGCTTGTCGAGCGACTTGGCAAGCGGTTTGTCATGTCGATGAAGCAGCTGAAGGCAGCCGGTGCCGATTGCAGCCGGAACGCCAACAATAATGGACTCCGATACGCCCTCGATCGAATCCCGTTGTCCGTAGTATGCCGCGTCGAATAGATGGTCCGCCGTTTTCTCGAACTAAAACACAAGTTTTTGATATTTATTAATTATTTTATTCCTTAGATATTCGCTTCTTCAAAATGTTTTCCTTCATCGCCAAGCCAAGCGTAGAAAGGAACGTAAGTGCAGTAGTTGAATTCGGCTTGCATATATTACATCGAATTTCGACTCATTCCTTAAACTTCAAAGACAAAATCGAGCATTAGGAAGAACCCAGAAGATCATGTAGTCTTCGATATATGGTGGTTATAAGCATCTATTATTTAAATCAGATATAAGATCACAGAGAGCAGCTTTAAAAGTAAAGACATCTGATACATATCTTCAAGCGTGTTGATAACACTAAACGTCCTTATTATGAGAGAAGCCCATGATCAGTTATGTGTGATGTGTGATGTTCTCCTAGCCAAAGACTTATTTATACTTATAGCGTTATACTGGTAAATGATACTTTTTTACCGTCTGGAAAAAAATAGGGTGGAACATGTGAAGTGAGTAGAAGCTTATGGCACTGATATTTTACAAAAAATAAAAACAAAAATTTTGAATGAAATAAATAAATTAAAATCTATCGAAATTCAAATCATATCCACCCTACTTTACGAACGGTAATAAAACAATAAATTTTGTAAGCATCTTTGACCTTGTCACTTCGCAGGGTCACAGGCTAGGGTGGATATGATTTGAATTTCGATAGAATTTAGTTTATTTATTTAATTTAAAATTTTTCTTTTTATTTTTGTAAAACATCAGTGCCATAGGCTTCTACTCCGTTCATATGTTACGCACTATTTTTTTTTCAGACGGTGAAAAAAGTCATCCAGTTATATTGAGCGTTGAGAATGTGAGGACTTATACTTGTCAGATAAAGCACTGACTTTTTAATCCGCTCAAGTAAGGCAACTTATGTGGGATGAAGGTAGTGTTTGTGTAAGCGAGCGCGCTTCTGCGTACGTGCGTGCGTGCATACGTGCGCGCGCGCCAGCGTGTGTGCGTGTGCGTGTGCGTGTGTGTGTGTGTGTGTGTGTGTGTGTGTGTGTGTGTGTGTGCGTGTGCATGTGTACATACGCTGGCCAAGTTGAGCACGGACTCCTTCATGCGCGCGAGCCCGTAGCGCGTGATGCCGAGCACCTCCCCGCGCGCGGTCATCTGCGCGGCTAGCAGCTCCACGTGGCGCCGGTCCACCGCCATGCCGTGCCCCGCCATCACGCCCTGGATCTCGCTGATAATCGTCGACTTCGCTGCCTCGATGCCCAGCGTCTGGTATACCTGACAACCGAATAGACTTTTTATTTATTTAACTGAAGCAAAGACTTCCATGTATACTGCTAGACCGGTAATACAGACGAAAAACTGAACGGTTGGCACGGCCACGGATCGGTGGCTAAATAAGCAGACACATACATTACATTTTTAGACAAATACGAAATAGCACATATTTACAAATACATATATATTGATTAAAACTACTTTTACGGATTTTATCGCGTTTTATTTATATTAATTTTAATACCCGACGTTTCGGGTGCTTTCCAGCACCCATGGTCACGGGGGACTGAGGTGACTGACGTCCCGATGTCAAAGTTAACCCGGAGTACCTTCAGCTTTTTAATTATTGTCTTTGGTCCGATCTACGCAGAATGAACTAACTGTATTCTATATATAACTGTTCGCCGTTCAGCGGCAACTTTAACGCCGTTCAACGGCATTGAAATTGAAACCATGTTGACCGTTCAAGTGTAGCCACTCACTTTATCGCGTTAAATTTAAGGCAATAACTGTTGCGTTTATGGGCATTGACGTTTCTCGTTAGTGTAGCCGCAGCATAAGGACGATTAGCTAAACTCCGGTTCAAACCTGTGATTTACTTTTTTAATTGTCGAATTTTTTTTTACTGATTTACAAATTTAGTCAATTATTTTAAATCACCTTGTTACCAACTTGGTAGTATCGGACATTAAATAAAATTTATTTTAAAAAATAAATAAAAATCCAGAGCAAGTATGATTGACGCCTACCAATTTGCATTCCGCAAATTTGCAGTAAGGTAAAACGCTTGTAACAAATTTCAGTGACAAACAATAATATAATGTCTACCGACAACCATGATGCTGCGGGGATAACCCTGACACAGAAGACTATATTCGGTGTTTGAAATGCTCAAAAAAGTTTCCATACGGACTGTCTCAGCTTTCCCACTGTAATAAAAGCTAGTGAATTCTCCACATGGGAACGTGCGCTGTGTCCGGTGCGACTTAATCCTAATGTCACTGTACGGGCTTCTAAAAGACAGGCCACTGCGGTCGCCTCCAATAACAGGAGCGTCGGCCGATGAAGTTAGAGACATTATGCAGGAGTATTCGAAAAGCATTACATCTAAAATAGATTCCTAAATTATTTCCATTAGTTCTGAACTAAAGTTAGTTAAAGCGGAGATGGTAGAAATGAGAAGCTCTATGCACTTCATGAATTCCAAATACGGATTGTTGATCAAAGACCACAAAGAAACTAAACAGGCGTTGGTAGATCTCCAAAAAGAAAACAGTGCTTTAAAGACTAACCTCGACGCGCGAATTAATACCCTTGATTAGAACGCGCGAGTTATGAATGTAGAAATTCAGTGCGTCTCTGAGAAGAAAAATGAAAACTTAATGCAAGTAGTAAGTCAACTGGGTACTGTACTCAGGCAGTGGCGGATTCACACATTTGCCGCCAGTAGGCTATTCAAATTTTGCCACCCCTACCGACTTCTACTAGTCGATACCTTAGTTCATAATCATATGCACTACAATTTTTGTCAAAAAATTGTAACTTTATGAGTGTGCACTATAGTCCTAATTACACCTTTCCTAATTACACTTTATTGCTATTAAATAAAGTTCATATGAAATTATAATCACTCACTGTTGTCTAAGCAATTTAGGTGTAAGAGTCAATTTGCAATTTATTAACGCTGCATATAGTTCAAATTCAATCATATCTATGAAAATAGTCTTCGCGTGCGCTTTGGAGGATCTAATGTCGCGTTCCGAAAATAAACAAAAGTGAATCGCGAACGCGACAAAAAATGTAATAAACTATTAGTAGTACTGATTTCCAATTAATTTGGTCGGCTTCGCGAAACTTAATTTTAGCTAACTTCAGTTGTAACTGTATCAGATAATTTTTTTAAGTTTGATAAATCTTAAGTTTTGTCACAAATTAAGTTTCTGAACACAACCATAATATTTGACATTAGATTTGACAACCAACTAATATGTCAATCATTCTGTCGCACTTCAGAACACGGAGATTTATGGCTTAAAGGTAAACTCAAAAAAATAACCTTTTTAATTAGTATGATTGTGAATTCGGGAATCGATGAGTCAGTTTCTAGATAATTTTTCCAACCCACAAAGATTTAGTAAAGATTACACAAGATTTTTTTTCTGGTTATGTATGGTAAACGTAATTAAATAATTTTTATTGCGCTTACACTTTGAAAACAATATATTCAATTTTACGCGGTAGAGCCATGCTGCAGCTATAATATATTATGAATGGGTCGGTTCGACCGGGGAAAGATCGCGCACTCTTAGAATACCAGCGTAAAATAGCACCTCAACGCTGCTGTATTTCGTATGGTGAGTGTGTTTAACCTGAAACCCTTTTACTGGAATCGAGGCATTCCATCTTAGTCTTCAGCGGTAACAAAGTGGCTGCATAATGATTTTAGTTTTATTCAAAGTGGCTGCACTTTGATTCTTAATTGAGGATAAAACTACTTACCATCATGTGGACTGTGTGCTCATTATTCTATTCAAAAAAATGTCTGGTAACAATCCGGCTGATGATGATAATGAAATTCAATAAATGAAGTTATGAAAGTTTTGCAATACCGTTTTGAACCAGTTTTTATTCGCAAAACCATTAATTAGGTATATCGTCGTATGAAATCTTGTTAATTAGCTGACCCAATGCACAGCCTTAAGGCGTTTAGGTTTTTTTGGCTTATGGTAGATCATAGATAATTTTTACCCGTTTTAAGCCAGAAAGGCTTGTCATTCGAACAATTTATCTTTGGTGTACATAAAGCCGTACGAACTGCCACATCAGTTTACATAAACGTTTTGCTAATTATATTTTTGCAGTAATGAAGATACTGCAAAAATAGAATAGAATAAAAATAGACTTTCCAATAACTCATAATCAGGTTTCACTAAAATTCTTTGAGAAGAAAGGTGGCATTGAAAATGTAATGCATTCTTGAACTAAATTAGTCTCTTAATCATAAGAAAATATTTCTTCAAAGAGAAGGGCTTTTTACGTACTAGTTCTAGTAGTACAAATCACAAATTTTCCTCAAAAATAAAAACTTTTCATTGAATCTGTTGTAGGCGTCTAGCGAGTCTATCAACCAGGAAGAGAAATATATTATTAAACTTGAAAATGTAACTCGTAGTTATTCTCATTTATTCAGCGGATGTTTAATTTCTTTTTTTTTTCCTTTTCAGTTGTCTTTTGTCTGCTTCGGTGCTTCGACACCCTTAATTCCATCTCCTTTTTTCTAAATACTTACTTAAAATTTTCTTGTTCAGCTACGAAAAACTTTTAAAAAGATTCATCAAGATCGACTACAGTGAACAAATCCACGGTCGATACTTCTATCTGAACATTCACTTTGTTTATTCTTTGCTAACAATATTCCACACAACAACCATTACCGCCGTTTTCAGTTTTTCTAAATTCACAAGTATTCCAGTCGTTACAGGCTTTTCGGTGCAATCATCCTTGAGTAATTCTAAAGTTTTAAGGACTTCATACCAATAATCTCTAAACTTCCACATGAGTCCCATCTAGCTGACCAAGTCGTCAGATTTACTCTCTTTAGCGCAGCGTTGTAAAGAACTTATACAAAAATTTCTTATAGCAATATAAAGAAACGACATGCTTTTGTACAACATTCAGCACCCGCAGTTGTTGCATTGACTTTAAAGAGTGGCCAGAGCAAGGAACGAAAAAACTTTATGATTTCCGAAATAATGGCAGAAAATATTTCTTCATCTTTCATTTTAAATTTTAAATCACTTTAATTTCTACGAGACAAAAAAATATTTTGCCTCAAATTTGCCGCCCAAAAAGTCTACCGCCCTAGGCTCCAGCCTACTCAGCCTGCTAAATCCGCCACTGTACTCAAGTGTAATGTTAAAAGCAAAGATATAGTCAATTGTTCACGTATTGCCAAGATCAACCATAACAGTACGCGACCAAAATCAATTGTAGCCCAATTCGCCAATAAAAGATTCGTGATAAGTTTTTGCCGGCGTCCTTATATTTCAACCGAAAAAAGGCAATGCAGGATAAGCTTAATAGCTCGCATCTGGGATTCAATGGAGAAAACCCTCCAATATACATTGTGGATCATTTTTCTCCTATGAATAAATCGCTTCATGCCGCAGCTAGAAAGATTGGTAAAGAAAAGGGATATAAACACGTGTGGGTTAGGAACGGGCGTATTTTTATGAGAAAAACTGATAATTCCGACTATAAGCTTATAAGAGATATGGACTCATTGAATATTAATAAGTAGTTGTAATGATAATTATTATGTTAATTTGGTACAAGTAATTGGATAAAAATCTATAAAATTCACTTCCATATCTATAAATTATCAAAATGTTTGAGGTTTACGCACTAAAACCCACATATTTTTACAAAACCTACTTATTTTAGATTATGATGTTATTGTGCTAACAGAGACCTGGCTGAATAATAAAAAACATGACTCTGAACTTTTTGGTAAAGGATATGCCGTACACAGAAGGGACAGAGAAATGTCCGGCTTTAACATGAACAAAGAGAGGGGTAGGAGAGTAATTGCAATTTTTAAACGTTTAAATTCAAAACGTGTGCAAGACTGGGAAAGTGAATGTGAGGATGTTTGGGTTGTGATTGATGGTACTCAGCCACTATATCTCTGTGTGCGGCATATCGCCACCCCCAGTGACAAATGTCACTGCTAAAACATTTTACTGATAACTTTAACCATGTATTCGAACTCTTTAATTCACATGTACGTATACTTACCGTCTGAGGTTAAGGTTTCCACAGCATAAGTCAAATTTTTTTAGGTCGTCTTTTACGATACAAGCTATACAACTTTGGAACACCCTCCCCAACGATATTAAGAATGCCGCAAATAAAAAAGTCTTCAAAGTTCTTCTCCGAGAACATTACTGAAGGAAACTACTAATTAAATTATTTTCCTTAATTTTTGTCTTTATTTCTTCTTTTTTACTTCAGATATTTATTTCATTATATATTATTCAAACATCATATTATTTATATCATTCATTTGTATATTTATTTACGAAGTTTATAAGCATGTATATATATTTTTTTTATATATATCACATATATATATATATATATATATATATATATATATATATGTATGTATTATTGTATGTATATTTATACTATATGTGTATATATACTTAAATGTAATGTGTGTGTATGTACTTTGCATATATGTATATTTTAATGTATGTATATATTTTAATGTAATTATTTACGTATAATGGTCGCACCTGCCAACAATTGTCCTTGGCACCCAGGGTTGACTGGCAGAGAATGCCACATGGCATTAAGTCCGCCCTATGTACCCCTTTAGTTTAAGGTGTTACGTTTAAGTTTTTAAATAAATAAATAAATAAATAAATACTTGGCGACTTCAATTTGCAGACCTTGGAGTGGCAATTAGTTGGGGATCCCTCTTATAACTTATCACAACTATACCAGTATTTCATAGATTTCGTGAATGTTAATAATTTAACACAACATAGCTCTATAACAAATACTACAGGTAGAACTCTCGATTTGGTCTTGGCCAATGTACCATCTTGCGTGGTTGCTGAGGCCGTAGACGTTTTGTGTCCGCTTGACCCGCTACATTCACCTCTGTCTACAGAACTCTCCATTAGAGAGACCAAAGCTACAGCTCAATACTGTGAGTAGGTTTAATTTCCATAAAACAGATTATGCTGCTATTTACGACTATTTAGCTGAATTTGAATAGAAGTCTCTTTTTTATGGGCACAGTGATGTAAATAAGAAACTCGAATTGTTCTTAGAGGTTCTTAAAAAAGCCATTCATGAGTTTGTACCATTTGTCAAACCAAATGCTAATAAATATCCTCCCTGGTTCTGTAAGGACTTGATTAGTCGCTTGCGAGAGGAAAATAGGGTAAGACTAAGGTACAAATAATACAGCAATCCCTTACACAGGATATCATATCGCCTAAAGACTGCGTTGCAAGAAATTAGCCTCAGAATGCTACAATGCATATATTCGCCTTTTGCAAGGCTTGGTTAAAGGCTCTCTTCTTAAAGCTAACATCCGGAGCTTTGCGGTCTCGAGCAACGACCCAAGATAAGTACGCCATATGCTTGTACTTTTCAGCATGAGCGCACTCGGCGTTGAACCATGGGCGAGCTTTACCACCAACGGGCACGTCAGCAAAGGGGATGAAATAGTCCATCGCTTGACGTATCACATCGGTTATGGTATCCGCGCAGCTCGACGGATCTTCAGACGAGAAGTAGAACTGCCGCCAAGGATAAGATGCAAAGAAATGCCGGATCTCATCCCAATCTGCTGACTTGTATCGCCACACTCGCCGCACACCGTGGAAATCGTTGTAGGGTGATGAATATAACGACACAGATTTCACCAGACAGTGGTCAGAAGTTCCCAAGGGTAGTTCAGAGGTAACCTGAACATTGTACCTATCTGGGTCGGTCGTAAGCAGAAGTTCGAGGCAACTGGCTATGTGCCCATCCACATCAGGTACCGTAGTTGCTTGTTGTACCAGTTGGGAGAGTCCCAGCGACAAAGCTAAATTCCACGCCTTTCTCCCAGCGTAGTCAGTCTTGTGGTATGGGAACAGCCAGTCCTGATGACAAGCATTAAATTCCCCCAGAAAAACCAACTGTGCATTAGGGTACCGATTTAGAGCCACATCAGAGGCTTCACTGAGGTGTTCAAATAGCCTAGTTGTCTCTTGGGCACCGCTGTGCGATCGTTAAGACACAGGAATAAATAATTTTATTAATTCCTGTGTCTATGAATACCCATCTAGTAGTTTACAGCCTGCCTAGTCGTATACAGCTCGTCTAGTTGTATACATCACGCCTAATAGTATACAGCCCATCTAGTTGTATACAGCTCGCCTAATAGTATACATCCCGTCTAGTTGTATATAGCTCGCCTGATAGTATACGGCCCGTCTAGTTGTATACAACTCGCCTAATAGTATACAGCCCGTCTAGTGGTATACAGCTCGCCTAATGGTATACAGACCGTCTAGTTGTATACAGCTCGCCTAATAGTATACAGTCCATCTAGTTGTATACAGCTCGCCTAATAGTAACAATCCCGTCTAGTTGTATATTGCTCGCCTGATAGTATACAGCCAGTCTAGTTGTATACAGCTCGCCTAATACTATACAGCCCGTCTAGTTGTATACGGCTCGCCTAACAGTATACAGGCCGTTTAGTTGTATACAGCTCGCTCAATAGTATACAGCCCGTCTAGTTGTATACAGCTTGCATAACAGTATACAGACCGTCTAGTTGTATACAGCTCGCCTAATAGTATACAGCCAGTCTAGTTGTATACAGCTCGCCTAATAGTATAAAGCCCGTCTAGTTGTATAGAGCCCGCATATGTAGTATACAGGCCGTCTAGTAATATACATAGTCATTAATTGATGTGACAAAGAAGGCTACAGATGCGTTGCCGCTTCTAAGGATTAAGATGAAATGCCACTAAATACTAGCTCTCTTATAAACTCCAAACCGGAGCACAGCATTGCAATCATTGAAAATCAGCGTTACGAACTGACGTCTGACTTCAATTCGAGACTTAAAGCTGATTTACAGGAGACTATTTTGTGGCATATTAAGTACTTTTTTATTACCGATAAACTATTTTATGGCAGAAAGGTAAAAGTTTGGTACCCAGATGGATTCCTAGCCACAAAAGGAATCCTACCACCTAGTAATAATTAACACATTACACAGTCTATGAACATCTCATTGTTGGGCATAGATCTCCTTTCTAAAGGTTATGGAGCAATTTGTCTGCAACACTACTCAAATGCGTTAGCAAACTACACGTTTTCTCGAAATATTTCATAACAAAGATATGCCAGGCCCTCTGGAGACACTTAAATATTCCAATTAACAATTTCATTAGTGCCACAGAGATTGAATTCAGTTCGGTCGCGTACTGTGAAATTTTATCGCGACCGCTTAAACCTATTAAGGCTCTTACAGAAATATTTAAATCGTTGTACCAAATAGCATTATAACAAGCAAAAAAGTTAAAACAGTAATTAAAAAAACGAATACGTAAGAGAAAAGCCTCCCTTTTTTGTGTATTTCAGATGCAATATATAAATATTATATAGCCTTTGTCACACCCACAATTAAGATGAATCTAATGACACTTCTTATGTTAAAATCCATTAAGCCATTACAGTGTGCCAAATAATATACATACATATAGTCATACATACATACTCCCAAAAACATTACCCTTCTTTTATAAGTTACCTCTAGAATATTGTTCGATGAAGTTTTAGTGCCATCCACTCCATATGTTGCTATGACGTCTCGTAGTCCATCACCTTCAACGCATAATTTGTATCTGTAAATAAATGAATGTAACGTGTTACATAAAAAGTCAGATGATCATCAATACAGCCCTACTCACAGATAACGAAACGAATTGTGAGCACAGCCTGCTGTTCTACGCACTAGTAGATTTATAAGTCTCTTGGGTGAGTATCAGTACAAGGTCACGGGTCTATGATTGTGAACATTCTTTCATGTTACTGTCATCACTTGTCCTTCTTCATCAAATTTTTATGTATTACTTGATGATTTCAGCTGTAAGTTTTCCAAAAAGTTAATGTTACAGCCTATATACATCCCACAGCTGAGCACAGGCCTCCTCCGCATTTCTGAGAGGGTTTTAGGGCCAGGAAGTGTCAGCCGCGCTGACCCAATGCGTGTTGGGGAACTTCACATGTCTTCGAAATATTTTTTTAGTACTTAGACATGCAGTTTTCCTCACGAGATTTTACTTCACCGCGGAGCACGTGGTAAATCAGTACTTATAATTGCAATTAACTATTTATTTGGTGCCGGCGGGGATTGAACACTGGTTGCTCGCGTACTGTGAATTTACAGCGAGCGTTGACCATCTGAGCTACCGAAGCTCAAATTTTCCAATGTGAGAAAATAATAATAAAAATAAAAAATAATATGGGTGTGGCTTTGCCGTGGACACGGTCGTTTGTTTTACGTGAATACGAGTACATCTAGAAACGACTTCGAAATGGCGACGCCCTTTCTTCCGCCGCGCACGATGCGTCAGTCCTCACTCGACGTAACGAATTGTTTGATCCTTTAGCTATCTATGGTGTGATAAATTTTGTATGTAGATGACAGGCAACACCAAACTATACATCCGATTTGGTATCATCAGTTTACTGAATTACGTACCACTATGGAAGAAAATGTAAAGAAGTAATTACGTCAAAAAAAATTATTAGCCATTCACGTAGTCACATGACGTACTTGGTGGCGACGTGGGCATCGTCGTAGGCGATGACTGCGCGGGATACCTTGAGCAGGCCCTGCACCACGACGTCGTATGACTGTGCGGTTGAGGGACGTACTTGGTGGCGCCGCGGGCGTCGTCGCAGGCGATGACTGCGCGGGAGACCCTGGGCAGGCCCTGCACCACGATGTCGTATGACTGTGACGTTGAGGGACGTACTTGGTGGCGCCGCGGGCGTCGTCGCAGGCGATGACTGCGCGGGAGACCCTGGGCAGGCCCTGCATCACGACGTCATATGACTGCGACGTTGAGGGACGTACTTGGTGGCGCCGCGGGCGTCGTCGCAGGCGATGACTGCGCGGGAGACCCTGGGCAGGCCCTGCACCACGACGTCGTATGACTGTGACGTTGAGGGACGTACTTGGTGACGCAGCGGGCGTCGTCGCAGGCGATGACTGCGCGGGAGACCCTGGGCAGGCCCTGCACCACGACGTCGTATGACTGTGACGTTGAGGGACGTACTTGGTGGCGCCGCGGGCGTCGTCGCAGGCGATGACTGCGCGGGAGACCCTGAGCAGGCCCTGCACCACGACGTCGTATAACTGTGACGTTGAGGGACGTACTTGGTGACGCCGCGGGCGTCGTCGCCGGCGATGACTGCGCGAGAGACCCTGGGCAGGCCCTGCATCACGACGTCGTATGACTGTGACGTTGAGGGACGTACTTGGTGGCGCCGCGGGCGTCGTCGCAGGCGATGACTGCGCGGGAGACCCTGGGTAGGCCCTGCACCACGACGTCGTATGACTGTGACGTTGAGGGACGTACTTGGTGGCGCCGCGGGCGTCATCGCAGGCGATAACTGCGCGGGAGACCCTGGGCAGGCCCTGCACCACGACGTCGTATGACAGTGACGTTGAGGGACGTACTTGGTGGCGCCGCGGGCGTCGTCGCAGGCAATGACTGCGCGGGAGACCCTGGGCAGGCCCTGCACCACGACGTCGTATGACTGTGACGTTGAGGGACGTACTTGGTGGCGCCGCGGGCGTCGTCGCAGGCGATGACTGCGCGGGAGACCCTGGGCAGGCCCTGCACCACGACGTCGTATGACAGTGACGTTGAGGGACGTACTTGGTGGCGCCGTGGGCGTCGTCGCTGGCGATGACTGCGCGGGAAACCCTGGGCAGGCCCTGCACCACGACGTCATATGACTGTGACGTTGAGGGACGTACTTGGTGGCGCCGCGGACATCGTCGCAGGCGATGACTGCGCGGGAGACCCTAGGCAGGCCCTGCACCACGACGTCGTATGACTGTGACGTTGAGGGGCGTACTTGGTAGCGCCGCGGGCGTCGTCGCAGGCGATGACTGCGCGGGAGACCCTGGGCAGGCTCTGCACCACGACGTCGTATGACTGTGACGTTGAGGGACGTACTTGGCGGCGCCGCGGGCGTCGTCGCAGGCGATGACTGCGCGGGAGACCCTGGGCAGGCCCTGCACCACGACGTCGTATGACAGTGACGTTGAGGGACGTACTTGGTGGCGCCGCGGGCGTCGTCGCTGGCGATGACTGCGCGGGAGATCCTGGGCAGGCCCTGCACCACGACGTCGTATGACTGTGACGTTGAGGGACGTACTTGGTGGCGCCGCGGACATCGTCGCAGGCGATGACTGCGCGGGAGACTCTGGGCAGGCCCTGCACCACGACGTCGTATGACTGTGACGTTGAGGGGCGTACTTGGTGGCGCCGCGGGCGTCGTCGCAGGCGATGACTGCGCGGGAGACCCTGGGCAGGCCCTGCACCACGACGTCGTATGATAGTGACGTTGAGGGACGTACTTGGTGGCGCCGCGGGCGTCGTCGCTGGCGATGACTGCGCGGGAGACGCTGGGCAGGCCCTGCACCACGACGTCATATGACTGTGACGTTGAGGGACGTACTTGGTGGCGCCGCGGACATCGTCGCAGGCGATGACTGCGCGGGAGACCCTGGGCAGGCCCTGCACCACGACGTCGTATGACTGTGACGTTGAGGGGCGTACTTGGTGGCGCCGCGGGCGTCGTCGCAGGCGACGACTGCGCGGGAGACCCTGGGCAGGCTCTGCACCACGACGTCGTATGACTGTGACGTTGAGGGACGTACTTGGTGGCGCCGCGGGCGTCGTCGCAGGCGATGACTGCGCGGGAGACCTTAGGCAGGCCCTGCACCACGACGGCGGGCAGCGAGCGCGCCAGCTGCTGCAGGCTCACGTTGAGCCAGCCGCCGCTCTTGCTCGCCTCCCCGCACACCTTGATCGCCCACTCCGACACCACGTGCACGTTGCCCGCCTTGACTTTCAACTTCGACGTGCATATCCTGGAGCGGAAGGAATTTTAACAGTTAAGTCAAGATTGTTTTTACTTTGACAATAGGACAACGGTCAAGCCTTGCAGATGATTTAAGCAAGAAAGCAACAAATTTTTGTGATAACGGCGTAGACTTTAGCAAATAAATAATTCTCTAATACTAAGAACGTTAGCTATATCATACACAGCTTTTATAGGGTGCCTGAAGAGTAATAATAACACTTCTTCTGCAGTGATCAGGTAGGATTTTGCTGCATTGCCCAAAGCACAGCATACAATACCTAATAATGCATTCACCAAGGGCTTTATAGGTTTGTAATGATAATTTATATTTAACAACAGTTCTTAAGAGGGCATATGCGTTTCACGTCGAAAACTACATGTTTTATGGTTTTTCCAAAGGCGATATCGTAACGACGTGAGGAGATTATTTGCTGAAAATTAGGGCTTTAGAAAGATGAAGTATTTATTTAGTACATAGCAGTGCAAAATCATAGTTTTTAATGACGGTTTTTTAGGGCGAAGACAATCCCTTCACTGTGTTTTACGAGTTATCTTTCAGGTTGAATACAACCATTATTATAAGCTAAAATACTTTATTTTAAGCGTTATTATAATGAAATATATAGTCTTTTAGGGTATAGCAAAACCTAAATTACGATAATATTTCGATTTAATATTATAAAATAATATTATAAAATCACCAAAACTGTCTACTTCAATGTAATTTTTTCCATGTATTTGCTTATAAACATATCTATTTTAATTATTTTATCAAAATACATGTAATATTAAATATCCAAAAAAATTTAGCTCGTTTTATTTTGTCAATTATTTTATATAATTATTTTAAAAATGCTATAAAACATCATGCGCAGACGCAGTTCGATTCAGTACGCTCCGGCTAATCCCAACGACAGGACGTATTACTTTTCTCACCGACACCGCGCGATCGCGTTGATACACCGATAGGGCTATACTACACCATACTATAACTAGATACCTATAGCACCATCGAGCATTTTAAACGATTCACTTTTATAAGCGATATTTTTGGTAGTAAGTAATTTTGAAATATGTTTATGATTGTAATATTTAAATATTAAATGATGTAATGGTGGCAAATTTTCATTTCATACATATTTTTTTTAGAAATGAGTAATGAACGTAAGCAATTCGGATCAAGTAAAAATACAAAATCGTTGGCTTTCACCTTTGGCTCCGTGGCGGAGTGACTTGGTAATGAGTTGTAGCGCTGAGCGCCGCAGGTTCGAATCCCACATGGAACGAAAATTTGTATTACCTACAAATAATTGTTCCAGGTCTGGATGTTTGTCCTTCTGAAATTAATGTATTTAAACTGCCCCAACGATGTATGTACTTAGGAAAAATTCCTAGTGTGGAGATAACGTTATGATTAAACAAAGACATGCCATCAAAAACATAACTTGTAAAATAACCAAGTCTCGCAATGATGATACGGCCGTGCCGCTGTTTTGGTCTACATGGCGGGGGCACTACCGTGCCCCCAGATATAAAAAATATGAGCCGTGCTTGAGTTGAGTAGCTCAATGGCGTAGTGCTCGCCGTAAACGCGAACAATCCGGGCTCGATCCCCGCTAGTGTTGCGAGGTGTCCCGATTTGCGCGGGACGTCCCGATTTTCAAAGGTCTAGTGACACGTCCCGATTCATCATTGATCGGGACGCCAAATGTCCCGATTTTCACTAACCTTCTTATTCTATACTTTCATCCATAATTTTGACAGCATAAATGATTACATCTGTTAGCTACTACCACATTAAAATATTTTTACTACGACATTGTCTCACCAGTCGAAAAAAAACCACAAAAGTTTTAAAAAGAATTATATTAAAATGATTGATTTGAAATATTTTAATTTGCCTAAAATGAAAAAAAATTCAGTTTTTACGATGTTTGGATGAAAAGTTATTCGTTTATGAGATAAGACCCGAATAATAATTATAAAGCACAAAAGTAAAGTAAAGTTATAGTCACAATTTCTCGCATTACTCACATACTGTGATATTTACAGTGAGCGTTGACCACCTGAGCTACCACGACTCTCAATAAAGCACAAAAAAGGCTACAAAGAAACCTATATTTTGTAGTCATTGTAGTTGTCCGGATATGAAAACCAAATCCCCGATCCCCGATTCAGTCGGGGCTAGCGCATTGTAGGCGATTGAATGTTAAAGTTTTTTAACGCTGTTTACGTAAATATTTTTTTGTATTGTTTAATACTTGTTGAAATAGTTTAGTGTTTAGTATATTTAATTGTAGGATAATATAATTAAGTTTAATTATATATTACCCATCTATTTGATAAATTTTAACGGCAAAACGTCGGCGTCGTTCCTACTATAATTGTTGCGTGGGTAGACGCTAAATGAAAAACAAAATGTTTTAGAATTTAGATAAATCATTATTTAAGTTACCTAAGGATTTTAGTAAGAAGTTATAAAAGGTGAATTTATTTAAGTTTTTGTTAGATAGGTACTTACAGCAAAAAAGAATTAAGTAATAATTTGATCTACAGAAGAAATACCCAAGTCCTTTATTACAAAAATTTGTTAAAATTTACTTCACTATCGAAGTATCTACTTACATACCTATACTTGTCTTTTGTAATTCAAATATTTTAAGTTATAACACAAAATACTGAAATTAAAACTTTGTATACTAACAAGATTTTTAACTAAGTAGAATAGATCACATTTCTGTTAGGAACCGTATTTCAGGTTTATTTGCTGTTTACAGTATCTACCTATTCCTTCCGAACCAAGCATCGCGATTCCCGACGAATGATCTTGCAATTTGCATGCGTCAGGCTTCGCAGAACTCACATAGGGGCGAAAATATGGTCAGTCGATCATAGTCAGAATAGGTACTTCACCTAAGTTGGTACTTAACATTTCGCAATGTATTTTTGTACTTTATATTGACATCCCTTAATAACCACAGAAAATCCGCCGTGACATAGAAAAGATGCAAAGTAATAAGGACACTGGCGCGCAGCAATAAAGGTTTATTTAGCTTACGTGCGCGATTTATCTGATTAATAATAATTATGTAGGCTATTACCGTCGGCAAGCAATCGACATCAAAGGAGTGCAGCTTCTGTACGTAGTACTATTATTTATTCTGTGCCCATGGTTATTTTTTTTTATAGAAGAGGGGGTAAACTAGCATGCGGCTCACCTGATGTTAAGTGACTACCGCCGCCCATGATCAAACGCAACCCGGGGGAATTGCAGATGCGTTGCCGGCCTTTTAGAAAGAAATAAGGTCTTGAAGGTTTGATAGGTTGGTGCCTTTTAGTAATATATTTTATTTGTGAATTCTGCTTAACACATCAAATGGCCTCATTATGTCACGGTGTATAGCCTGTCCACATATAAAAATCAGTGGTTATCAATTTTTACAGGTGGACCACCAAGTTTTAAGTTAGAGGTATTCAACGTGCTGGTCGTATATTTTTTGTTGTATGACTTAACGGACTCTACTATTTTATTCTTTAAGAACACGGTTGAAAATACCGCTTCTGTGGGCTGGTTATTTTCTTTCTTAGTGTTTAAGCGGTAGACGCCACGGATCTCTTCCGATTGAATTAGTAGACTGATGGCAGCTCCTACCTTTTTTATAATATTAACAGGTCTTCTTTCGATTCCCTGATTGTTTTGAAATCACGTACTTCGTTGATTGTCGTCTACAATGTCCCGTGGGACAATGCAGGTGTCGGGCCTCGGGGTGAGCCCCCATTGCCCGGATGCTCCTCATGGCCCATCACTATGGGCCAGTCCTTTTAGCCTATTTAGGCATAATGTTAATAATGTAGTAGATCCGAGTTTTTCCGTAATCGGTAATGTTTTTCCCGTAGTTGGTTAATTACGGGAAAAAGAGAGGTTGTCCGATAAAAGTCGAAGTTGGCCTTTCAGCGGCATTGTGGGTTGTTACTCGACTCTCTAATCACATATAGAGAGGAGTTCTCTTGGAAGAGGTCGCCCGTCCGGTGGCCGGGTGTGCAACGGCGCGAAGCCGTTGAGGTGTTCATGTGGCCCGTTATCGGCACGGTCAAACATGCCGCGCGCTAACCGGGCCACGAAGTCGGTGATGTTCTCGATCTTCAAGTCCGCCGCTATTACGTCGTTCCGGACGTAGCGACCTGCTCCGACGATCGTCCTTAATGTCAGATTCTGCTGGGCCTGCAGTCGCCGCCTCAGGGGGTCGCTCAGAAGTGCGTACCAGGCCGGTGCAGCGTAAGTGATGATGGTCCGGATATACATCTTGTATATCCGGAGCTTAGTTCTTGTGGGCAGCTTGGATGCCAGGACCGGCAAGAGCGTCGCCCGCGCACATCGGGCCCGGCGGACGACGAAGTCGACGTGCGCGGTCATGCGCAGCGTCCTGTCGATCCTGCATCCAAGGTAAGTTACAGCCTTCTGGTACGCAATCTTCTGGCCGTTGAGGGTCAGCGGAGGTGGAAACTTCCTGAGACGGCGAGTGAGCAGAGCGGTCGTCTTACCAACGTTGACGACCATCCTCCACTCATCCAGCCATGGTGGCAGCAGGTCCAGCAGACGCTGCATCTTGGCAGTGGCTATGTGGGCTCTTCTGGACGAGGTGAAATAGGCGCTATCGTCCGCGTATAGCGCCAGCTCAACGTCGTCCTCCCACTCTTGGAGCCTGCCTGCCAGTGTAGGTATGTCGTTGGTGTAAGCCGCGTACAGGACTGGTGACAAACAGCTGCCCTGTGGGACGCCGGCTCTGATGGTTCTTGTTGCGGACTCGGCGTCCTCTACGCAGACGTAGAACTTCCTGTCTACCAGGAAAGACGCCATTAACCGCAACATAGCAGGAGGGACACTGGTCTGTTCTTCCAGTTTATATAATAATCCTATGTGCCACACCCGGTCGAACGCCTTCTCGATATCGAGAAAGACGCCCAACGATATGCGGCCACGATTGTACTCTGCCGCAAGCAGGTGCAGCACTCTAGTCAATGGTGTGACTGTAGAGTGACCCCTCCTGAATCCGTGCTGCTCCGCCCGAAGTTGGATGCACGGACGGAGACGTCTCAGCAGCAATCTTTCAAATAGTTTAGCTATGTGTGTTAAAAGCGTGATCGGCCTGTAGCTGGCAGCTCTACGCCTGTCCTTCCCGGGTTTCGGTAAGACGATGATTTTGCATTTTTTCCAGTCCTCCGGGAAGTGGGATGTCCGCAATATCCCATTGTAGAGTCGACCAAGCTCTACTATGACTCTATTGGGCAGCTGTCGGAGTGCAGCGTTGGTAATCCCGTCGTGCCCCGGCGCCTTCCTCGGTTGCAGGCGGGTTACTGTCCTCCGCAGTTCAGCGGGGGAGATGAACCACTCTCCTGCAAGAGGCGGCGCGGGCGACGACAGGAACTCCTGTACGCGGCTTTCCTTCCGGGCATGAAGCTCCATGAACTCCGCACTTGCTGGGTTCGGCATAAATTGCTCCTCGAAGTGCTCGACTAGGATATTTCTTGGCATCATAGTGTTGCGTAAGTTGGGGCAAGGGAGGTTTGGTTTTGGTCAACTGCCGGCTCAGTTTATAGAGCGACGCATCATGCTCTTCTGCCTTCTGGATGCGCCGATCCCAGGCCTCGCCTCTGAAGGCCTGGACTGCAACCGACAGTTCCTCCGATAAGGTGTTGAGCTGCGTCTTAATTCTAGGGCAGCGAGTACGCGCCCAGAGCTTTCTCAGCGCTCTCTTGCGCTTGATCTGCACGCATATCTCACGCGGCAGATCGTCTCGCCTAGCTGTGATCGGGACGACCGTAGAGGCCGCGTGGAGGGCCTCCTTGATGTTGTTGGTAATTCTAGTAGCAGCGGCCTCTACGTCGTCCGCTGTGCTTATAGGTTGGTGTGCTGGAGGTCTCTGCTGAAGGTGTTGGCAGTAGAGCCTCCAGTCGACACGAGTCTTAAACGCTCTGGGCGGCGTCGTCACTGCCTTTAGGCCAAGGGTTATCAGTAACGGGAGGTGCTGTGAAGGGAAAGGTCGTACAGCACTTCTACCACTATCGGGTAGTTGACGTTCCTAGTGAGCACGATGTCTAACACATCCGGATGCCTCCGCGGATCGGTAGGAACGTGCGTTGGTTCCTCGGGACCTAATACGTCGTACAAGTTCTTTTCAGCATCGTCATATAGTTCAAGACCCGGCGGGGTGATCACTCTGGACCCCCACGCCGGGTGTTTGGCGTTCAGGTCCCCGGCGATAATTGTGGGTGTATCGCCTTCCATCACCGTCCGGATGTCTGAGGAGCAGAATGGAGTCCCTGGCGGGCGGTATGCTGCGTAGATCCTAAGTCCCTCGCCCGCCGCCTCAATTCTTATGCCGATAGAGCGCATAGTCTGGTAAGGTGGTAGTTCCAGCTCTTGATGGACGATGTCCCTCTTCACTAGAACCGCCGTCCCTCTGTAGGCGGCCCCTTGAGCAGTGACCTCGTCCCTTTTGTAAATATGGTAATTCGGCAGCTTAATATGCGTCTTTGGATTCAGCTTCGTCTCTCCCAGCAAGATGATGTGCAAGTCCTGCTGCTGGGCGACTGTGCGGAGTTCATGCAGCTTATGCTGTATTCCGTCCGGGTTCCAATAGAGGAGGCGCAGATTACTCTCCTCCGTAGTGCCGGGCTAGAAGGTTTGCCAGCGCCTTCATTATCGCTGTCACTGGATCCGTCCCGGCTCTTATATCAGCCAGGACTTGTGTACCGACCTCGATGGCAATACCAACCAGACGTTGGATTGCATCTGCTGTTTCGAGGCCGGTGGTAGGTATTCTCCTATAAGAAGGCGTTGGCAATTGTCTCGGGTGTTGGGGCTCCTGAATTTGCTCTCTTTGCTTGTGGGTAGAGCGCGCTCTACCTGTAGAGCGGGCTCTATGTTCGGGTAGAGCCCTTTCTGGCACTCTACCCACGCTCTTGGTTGTCTCCCGAGTAATCTGCGCCTGCGAGGCTCCTGGTACAGTTGGTGTCGGGGTAGAGGTGACAGCCTGAGGAGGCTGCGACTTCCTCCTACTTCTTTCCCGCCTCCTCTTTTTGGAGGGTTGCCGTTCTGTGGCAGGATTGGCGGGAGCCTGTAGAGTCGCCCCGGTGGTTGCCCTGGTCGTTGTGGGTTCCACCGTTTCCTGGGTTGTTACGGGTGGGGGGGGGGGCTGGTTGCCTGCCCTTCCCTGTGATGGTGGTCCGCCCGTCATGCGTAACGCTTCGGGCGACTCTGGGGGGCCTTTTTTAGGGGCCTCCGGGAGTAGCCCCGGCAAGGTTATCCCCTGTCTCCTTGCAGTCCTCCTCAGGACTGGGCAGCGGCGGTCATTTGCCGTGTGGTTTTTACCATAGTTGGCACACTTCAGTTCTTCTTCTCTACCCCGAGGGCAAAGGCTTGCAATGTGCTCCCCGGCACAGCGCACGCATCTCACTGGCCTGAAGCAGTTGGTAGAGGCGCGCCCGAAGGCCTGGCATCGGTGGCATTGGGCTGGTCCTGCTTTCCTTTGCCAGGCCTCGATGACGACCCCTCTCATGTAGAGGAGTTCGTTGATGTTATAAAGATCCTGGAGCTGCTCCAGGCTCAAGTGGTCCAGTTGGGCAAAGTAGACGCAGCCAGGTCTGCTCCTACGAGGTGGTATTGCCTTTACGTATTTTATGGGGAAGCCTTTTGCCCTTATAGCCTCCTCTATTGCTTGGGTGTCCGTGCCCATTGGTAGACCCCGGATGCCCACTTTGGTGGGCTTGTCCTCCTCCGGGGTGTAACAGTACCACGACAGTGTTGGTGTTTTCTTGGTTAGTTCTACCATGTATCGCTGTACTGTGCGGAATTAATTTGCGCTTTGCGGTGTGAATCGTACGCCTTTCCCGAACGGACGGGCATTTATGGGGTGGCCCAACATCCTATTGAGCTCCTTAAAATGCCTCGTCCAGTCCGGTAGGCATTCGGCCACTATGGGTGGGTAACGGCCTTTCTCCTGGTCGGCAGGCTTCTCGGTAGGCACTGCCGCCGGTGGTGGTCGTGGTACTGATGGCGCTGCTACCACATGGGCATAGCTGGTAGATGGCCGTTGGCCATCGTCCTGCGGGAGCCCGGACGGATTGGTTGTTGCCACCGGCGATGATCTGCCGGCGGATGCTGCGAGGGTGGCATACGTGGTTGACCCCCAACTATAGGATTCTTCGCCCCCCCTGCTCGTACTGCGCCGAATCATGGCTTCGTCGATCCGGTGATATTGAGCGGAGGGGGGGGTTGCGGTGGTGAAGGTGACTTGGGTGGCGATCTTAGCACCTTCTTTGTAATCACCTGGTGGTAATCTTCATCCTCTTCCGATGTAGATGGCGTTTCATCGGAAGATAATTGGGAGCCAATCCGTTGCCTCTTCTCGTATAAGGAGGCTTCAGTTTCCGGAGGGGTATGTCGTCTTGCCGTTTTCATTGCCCGCTGTGGTTGGGGCGGCGGTTCCTGCCTGGCCGTGTGCTCAGACACGGCCGGCGTGAGCGCGACGCTCGGTGCGGGCTCCTTCCGTGGCGAGACGGGTTTTCTTTGAGGGATCTGCGAAAAGGATGACACTATTCTAGTGCGCTCCGGGTTCGCCAGATCCCTCACAGCCAGTGGTCGTTCCAACACACCTTTTCGGTCTGGTGGTTTTCTAGATGGGGGGAGGCTCCCCCTTTTTTCTTGTCGGACATAATGACCTACTTACGTCAGTCAGGTAATCTAACTTACGGCCCTGTCTAAAATATGGTATGTAAAATAGTGACTTTCTACACTTGGGGCACTGCCTACCCCTTTTGTCAACAAAAGGGTTGGGGGAAGTGCGACGGTGGCACTTTATTACGCGACTAGGCACAGGATGCACGAAGCGCATAAAGTGCCAAGAATCACCTAGGGGCCGGTGACCTCGACGCCTCACGGAATCACGGGAGTTAACGTTCGGCGGAGTATGTCGTACCGGCGGTCATTTACAGCCACTGCTAACTGCGTATAACGCACACCTAGGAGATCCTTCACGTACTTCAATGCTCGAGCTGCAATGATGATGCTCCATCTACTCCAGTCTATTCTCTAGAGTTATATATTTGCGGTTAGCAGATTTTTCCTGTTCTAAGGAACTTATTCATGATAGTAACTCATCATATTTTAAAAGAAATTTCTTAAAAAGTCAATCGCACTAGAAATAGCCTTATTTTACTCTATGTGAGTGTTAATACCACTCGGAACCTTATCTATCAGGGAGGTGAATTTGTCGTTTCGTTCCTTTTTGAGCGCAGAAAACATAATTTCCGACCGGCCAATATCAGTATCTTTCTTACCTCGTTTCCGTACTAAAATGTAAAATAACTTCCATCTTCTTCAGACGCAAGTGACGTTTGATACAATATACAAAATACATATACGGTCCATTTTCAGTTTCTACATTTAAAGAAGCAGCGATTAATTACTATAGTATTTAGGGAGTACACTTGCTACAAAGTTATCGCAAAAGTAAGGCTGGCACGCCGATGTAAAAAACTTCGATGTTTCTTTTCAAATTAAAACAAAATTTACATTCATTTAACCAGTTCTTAATCACTTACGAATAAACAATGGTGTGCACATTGACTTCCAAGCTGAGCAGTTTGATGCGCTCCGCGTCCAGACGGATCAGTAGGAAGCATTCACTAGGGAGGTACACCTCTTCGATGTACGTCGTGATCTATCAAAAAATAAATATAGCATTTAAATCTCTCTTCCCTTTTAATATGGACGATATTCGATTGCACGTAACAAATATCACAATCTGTAAGTAAAGTAACTGCGTAGCAACCACACAACGCTTACTGAGATGGAACTCCTATCCCAGTTAGGGTCGCCAACCCTTTTTTTTTACATGAGAAATGGCTATCCGCCTAACTCATATCCGACTTTGGGAAGGATGGGTTTTGTCGCACTCGCACAAAATAAAACCTTCGTCGCGTATTGGCAGGGCCACGGGAACACTTATGCACATACTCGAGGCTCCAACCGTGCCGGCTTTGGAATTTTCAAATTAAAAAAAATGTGATTTAAATAAATAAAAGGGGGACCGAAGCAACCATCTTATACGTGGTAGAGCCATGCTGCAGTTATATTAGAAGTATAGTTGTAGCACGAATGCGTCGACTCGAACGGGGAAGGACCACGCTCTCACAGAATACCAGCGTAAAATAGTAGTTTAGTGCTGCTGTGTTTCGTATGGTGAGTGTGGAGAACCGGAAACCATTTTTACTGGAAACGAGGCATTCCATCTCAGTCCTGACAACGCATCTGCATTTTGATTCGTAATCTAGGATAGATGTAGACGTCTATGGGCCACAGCAACCACGTACCATGAGGTGGACTGTGTGCTCGTTTGTCACCCTTTCCTATAATAAAAAAAAACCAATTACCATCAGGTGGACTGTCTGTTCATTTGTCGTGAAAACGTGGTCAAGTTTATTTTCAAATCAAAATTCTGTCACATTTTATTACACATAGTTAACACACGTATGAACTTACTTCCCCAAGCGTAGTCTTCTCCACGCGTCCCTTAACTCTTCTTGCAAACTCCTGGTCATACGGCTGCATCAGCTCGGCAGTGATAATGGGCGTGGAGATGTTCTTCGACGCGTTAATAATCTCCTTGACTCGAGGTACTCCCTGGGTAATGTTCATTGACGCTACGCCAGCAAAATGGAAGGTTTTTAAGGTCATCTGTGTGCCGGGCTCTCCGATACTCTGTAATGGGGAAAATTCATTTATATTTATTACGTTGAAGTTATAAACTTAGAACGTTTTTTCTTGACCCATTTAAAATTACAAACCGTCGTGTTTTAAAATACGAATCGAAATATGAATAATTTGTGTGGATAGGTCTCTCGTACATGACTAGAGATGCCCAATTTTTTGTTTTGAATCGATCTTCCAAATCGTAATTGATCGTAACCTCGTGAATCGATTAACGATTTAATCATATTGCATTGAACTGATCTGATCGAATAAGATCTCGGAAAATCGTATCGTAATTTTACAAAAAAAAACACACGTAGTAGTATGCAAAATTATTTAGTTTAGCAAAGCCTGTTACGCCATCCAGTGAGTTTTTCTAAATTATTATTTTTGCAAAGCATAAAACAGGTTTTACAGTATGAATTTCAGCTACCTACATTTAAACTTCAAAAATAATAATTTTGATAGCCGCACTGGATCTAGCCTATTACGGCTATCTGTTGATGTATTTCTAGCTAGGGAAAACAGGCGTTCTGAATTGACCGATGTTGCAACAATTGTCAGATACTTCGATGAACACAAACAGGCCCTTCAATTTTATTTATTTGTATAGAGGATAAGCACATACGTTTTCGGCAATAACTGTAATAGAACTTCTTCACTTTTGCTTAGCTCAGAATAAGTGCCTATGTGATGCCGTCTGAGATGATTTTTAAATTGGTATTATTTTTACTAGTTTTTACCATCTTACATTGCATTTACACATTATACATTGTCCACCCATGTCACATATAATAAAAAGTCCAAACATTTGATTTATAACCATATTAAAAGTATTTTAAAATAAAAGTTTACGCTCACAAAACAGCTCAACATTTCGTGTCGCAATAATACCGTTCCGCGCCTAAAGTGATGTCTGGTACATGCCCCTAGCGCCATCTAGTGTCGGGGAGCAGACCGAGGAGAGCATTCTAGAAAATGCCATGCCTGAACTTTCCACCAATAGCGCCATCTAGTATCTAATAGAGGAATTAAGCTTTCTAGAAAAGTCCACACTCGAATATTAAATACAAAGAATGAAAGATCATAAATAACTAACATAGGTACCCGATAGTAAAATAAATAAAATATTATCATACCTACTTTCATATTTCATACATTACCGCTTTTGATGTAACTCTAATCTACTCTCATTCAATGTGTAGGTAGGTAATCTTACTTTATTTTAGTTATTCTGTCCCCTCCCCGGCAATACGATAGTTATGCAATGATCGGTTCGTACGTTAGTATGTTACGGTTCAATTGATGTTTAAGTTTTATTTGATACAATTTTTTCATACAATCTTATAGGCATACGATTCGATCTGACTGAAGATCGCATTCCCTTGAATCGATTCAAAAATCGGTAGATCGTATGGCCGTAAATCGATCTTCCAGGAAATCGATTCAGATCGGCCATCCCTATACAAGCCTATATACTCGCTCGCTCGCCAGGTTCTTGTCAAATATGTAAAAGACTTAACCATTTTAGAAGTGAAAACTTTTTTGGGCATGCACGTCTCACTACACTATGCGCAGTGCATCACTTGCCTGTGCGGCCAGCGCGCCCACGGCGGTGCCGGGCTCGATGACGCCGCGCTGGTACTTGTCGTGGCAGACGCGCACGAAGCGCACCAGCTGCGGCAGCGTCAGGCGCTCCAGCTGCAGCGCCACGGCGCCGCACTGCTGAAACTTGCTGCGGAGTCTGCGCACTTTGTCCGCTACCGTCTTCAGGAACGACCTACGCTAGCGAGGACCATCAGACGATCAGGTGCATTCTTAAAACATTTATATCTAGTAGCGGATTAAAAAAAATTACAAGTAATGAAGAAAACATATTATGACGATCCTGAGTTCCTGAGTATTAAGGGTATGGCATAAAGTGTGTTTGGATATAATATGTACGTGTTTACATGCGTATGTATAGATTAGCCAATTGAAATTTTGCCCCCTCCCCCCTCCCTGAATACCCCTGGGCGTGGAGTGCGTGCCTGGTGAGTGATTACTAGGATTGGTGTCTTATTAAATTCCATTACTGGGCATCCGGCCAACTGCGCATACCAATCGAATCGGAGACGTAAATCTTCTTCTTCACATTGTATATTCACTCACAGATTGTGGTACCTCCTCGGTTCAATGTGACCTACTCGTACCACAGCAAAAATTGACGCGTGGCACTACCACTGTTAAAAGCTTGCTTTCACTAAATGTGGTAACCCCACATAGAGTAGAGTGGCATAAAGTGGGTAGGTCTGTTTGCATAGCACACCCAGTATACGAAATTGTTTGGGTTTCAAAGGCGCCTAGCTATCTGCGTTAGACAGAATTAAAGTGAAGAGATTGAGTGCGCAAGAATGCACAACTCTCTTTCCCCCGACTCTTAAGCACCACCAACTTCCTGACTGCTACCAAGAGTTACTTAACAGAAAAACCCGGTAACTACTTTTTTTGGGCCGACTCGGAATTCCAAATCGTGACCTCCTAATCAGCAGTCGCACTTAAGACCACTAGGCCAACAAGGCAATCCATGAAAACAGAAGTAAGAAGTAATAGCAATTGTAATGAATGCGTAATTATAATCAAAGTTCATCATCAACGATGATGGCAGATAACCTCATGGCAGTCAACCATGCTCATAACATTGCTAGAAATGGGTAATCCGGCTGCACGTTAGAACACAATAGAAGATCCATTGTTCATTAGCAACGATAACAACTAAAGACCGATTTACACTTCGACAAGTACAGCAGCGAGTTAACTTACGAACCACGCGAGTTAAGTAGCAATTTAACAATTAAATTGAATGGGGTAGCCGGCCGGTCTATTTTTCGACAAATCAAGTGCTATGTATTGTCCTCCCACGCGTCTTCCACCACCCGCAACTAATGAAGAGCGAGTTTAGTTCGGTGCATAAGTGACAGGAGCAAATTGTTCGCCGAAAATTGTACTTTTCTTTAACTAAACTCGTCACGAAGACATTTGAATGCTACTGTCTAATTAACAGTTTACTGTCAACTGCCCTGTAACTGTAATGTAAAAGCGACAGTAGCCTAATGGCAGGGCGCGGACCGCGAACTCAAAAAGGTCGTGGGTTCGAATCCGCCATTCGACTACTGGCGTGAACCACTCATAACACAAGCAATTTAAGCTTACCATGAATGGTTAAGGGGAATATTAGTAATGTTTATAGCATTGTTAATATTCTTTTAAAAAGAACTGCCCTGTAACTAAACTAGCTACTGTACTTGTCAAAGTGTAAATTGGCTATAAGACTGTAAATGAGTCTAACCACTAAATAAAACATTAAAATAATTTTGTACTAAACTAAATAGTTAAAAAATCTTTAATACTATATATACATAAAACAAATTAGCTTAACCAATCATTAAACTTACAGTAGTTCCTTTTTGAACTCGTCTGGGCACGTTTTGAAGTCATCTAACGCGAGGGTTTCTTCTGCCGCCACTACAATCCCGTCGCCATCAAGTGGCTCCTCGTCCCTGTAATAAGATTTCAGAATTATATTATGAATAATAATTCTTGACATGCTTCCAGGTTTAACATGTGGTAGAGCTATGCTACAGCTATATTATGGTTGTAGCACGAATGGGCCGACTCTACGGTGGTACGTATCTAGAGCGAGTCACAGAAGCAGAACGACCTAAGAGTGTTGTGTGGTGTATGCTGTGTCCTCTCACCGAGCATGGCACTGTGCGCGTACATCTGCGAGGACTCGTGCCAGGTCTACCGGACGGTCCTTGCCCTCCATGTAGCTGGGGTCGAGCCCGTCGCTGCCGTAGCGGAACTGCACCACCTCGCCCGTTGCATTACGGACTGTCATGTCGTACTGCAGCACCAGGTCCTCCAGCGACTGGTTCACAAACAAAAAATAATTATTCCTTATTCATAAAACTCAAATAAGACTTCAACAATAGGTGGCCTGTGGCCAGCAGTGAGACGTAATTTATAGGTTTTCACGTTCACGACGGTTGATCCACTTTTGGACCGAGAATACATTTCGACGACTATAAAAGCTTTAAATATATCTAAATTTATTAAAAAATAAATTTTTTAAGCGACCTTAAACCTTATTCTGACAGCGTAAGAAAATCCACTAACCTATATTATCCCGTGGGTGTCACAAGCGGGTATAGAGGGAAACCGAAACAGAAAATGTCTGCCCATTTCTGATAGCAACTTAATAATAATAAAGAACTGCGAAGCACGGCAACTATATTAAATATTCCCCCCTGTGAAGTATCTATTATGAATAATAAATACTTATTATCCTAGTACGGGGACGACATTGAGTTTTTAGAAGTGGCCACTTGTAAACGATATAATAAAAAAAATAAGTTCATTTTTTTGCGCCCGAAGCAATTAAAGGGCTACCCTATACGTAGGGAGGCGGAAAATGCATTACGCATACCACGATAGCCGGTCTATCGTGGTTATGAGGGACTCACTGTCCTACCGGGGACCCTAAGTGATACCCTCTAAAAACCGCCTTTGGGGACAGGCAACCGGCTGATTAAGCTGTATTGTGCCTTATCGTGAACGACCCTCTTTTGGGAAGAGAGGGCGCAGTAAAATAAGTTCAACTCATTGAGCTATTATGTACTACGTACTAGAGGCGACACTGTATTCAGCTACTCTGTTCCACTCAACTGCGGTGCAACTGCAGTGCATACACCGCATTTTAATCAGTCAGTCAGTCACTCGCTAGGCGCTTGTAGAGTTGTCACGTGTTGTGTTGATTTTAAAAAAATCTCTTGATAAAAATATGCCGTCGTGTATACTTAGATATTGCACAAATAATTCAAGAAATGTCAAGAAATTCAAATGCGATATATTTGTGGGTACTAAAGTATAGGACGATTATATTATTATACACATTTTTTTTGTAGAAACATATATAAGTTATTATAATTAGGCTTATTTTTCATGTTTATATCTGCTTATTATTCTTTTATTTTATTTTTTATGTTTCCACATCAAAGTCAAAGTGGAATAAATTCGTCAATTATTAATTCTCGCGTGCCCAGCATTTATGAAAGACTCTTATTCTAATTTAAATAAATTTATTTGTAATTTAAAAGTTATGTTAATAAGTTGTGTTAAACATATATTTAGTATATTTTTTATATTTGACCTTTTAAAATATTCAGATAAAAATATCATTAAAATGTAATTGTGATATAATATTATGTAATATTATATTAAATAAGCAAATATAATATACAAAATAAATGACAAAATTTAAATATTGTTCTCGATATAATTTACCTATTTAACAATACAATCTATTATTACCTACGGATCAGTCTACCTATGTTTATTCTATGATAAAGAACCAACCGCGCGAACACAGAGTAGCGCACATTTTTTGTTTGAGATAGCTGTTCTAGTACGTAAGTACATGTTACTTCAATGGTTTCGCCATTTTGCTTACAAGCGCTTGCTAGCGCTTTTTTCTGCTAAACGCACCCATTAATTTCTCATTTGTTTACGATTTGGCGGCAAATTGAATTTTGAATTGAATTGCCTGTGACGTCAGCATGAATTTAACGCGAGAAAATCGTACAATGATTTTTTATGACTTTCGATGTCATTCAGTCAACAAGAAAGTTATGATAGACTTCGATTGGCCTTTCACGATGAAGCCCCATCTCGTGCCACTGTGTACAACTGGTTTAATGAGTTTAAACGTCGACGGCCTTCTACGGCGCCGGCTGAAGATAACATCAGTGTTGTGCGGCGTATGATAGAGACTGACAAAAGAGCATTGAAGTAATATGTATTTACGATTATTAGGCCGAATACGCATATTCGCAATAGAGGCAAAAGTTGAACCATAGAAGTAATATGTACTTACGTACTAGAACAGCTATTTCAAACAAAACATGTGCGCTACTCTGTGTTCGCGCGGTTGGTTTTTTATCATAGAATAAACATAGGTAGAATTATCAGTAGGTAATAATAGATTGTATTGTTAAATAGATAAATTATATCGAGAACAATTTTCAAATTTTGTCATTTATTTTGTATATTATATTTGCTTATTTAATATTATATTACATAATATATTATCACAATTACATTTTAATGATATTTTTATCTGAATATTTTAAAAGGTAACGTCAAATATAAAAAATATAATAAATATATGTTTAACACAACTTATTTACATAACTTTTAAATTACAAATATATTTATTTAAATTAGAATAAGAGTCGTTCATAAATGCTGGGCACGCGATAGTTAAAAATGGATGAATTTATTCCACTTTGACTTAATATAAAAGAATAACGAGCAGATTTAAATATAAAAAAATTGGCCCAATTATGATAACTCATATATGTTTCTACAAAAAAAATTGTGTATAATAATATATTCGTCCTATACTTAAATGCCCACAGACATGTCGCATCTGAACAAATTAATTCCATAATCTACATTACATGACACAAGATGGCGTCTTAGGAATAACTTGTTTTATTGTTAATTTATAATACTTTTTTATTCATTAAGTATCTTATTAACCGATGAAAAGTAACACCTTGCTTATTACTGACATTTCTTGAATTATTTGCGCAATATCTAAGTATACACGACGGCATATTTTTATTAAGAGATTTTTTTTAAATCAACACAACACGTGACAACCCTACAAGCGCCTAGCGAGTGCACCGCAGTTGAGTGGAACAGAGTAGCTGAATGCAGTATCGCCTCTAGTACGTAGTACATAATAGCTCAATTCAAAAGAGTGGCTTATTAGCAGATTCGGACAAGTTTAGGCATCGGTATGAGTGAAGTGCACAAATCTCAATGAAAATTTAGCGATCAGGAAGCTTTGTGCCCAGTCGATACCTCATAATTCGACAGAGGCCCAAAAACTCCGTCGTGTTGATTGGTGTCGTGAAATGGTTCAAGGATTTAACGGAGGTGACTCAAATGCTGTGTTCGACATACTTACGGGTGACTAAAGCTGGATTTGTTATTATGATTATGAAACTAAGAGACAGTCTGCAGTCTGCGTGTTTCCCTCCGAGGAGTTGCTAACTAAAGTGAAGAGAGGTCGAAGCGAGGGAAAAAATGTGGTGGCCTCGTTCTTCGGAAAGACAGGTCATCACGCAACAATTGTTTTAGAGGATCGAAAAACAGTTACTGCAGAGTGGTACACTTACAATTGTTTTCCACTTGTCTTGGGAAAAGTTCGGGAGAAACGACCTCGCAGTAGGATCCTCCTTCACCACGACAACGCCTCGTCGCACACCGCCAAGCAAACAATCGACTACTTGGCGGCGTCAGACGTGAAATTACTAAGTCACCCGCCCTATAACGACCTCGCGCGATTTTTATTTCCGAAAATAAAAGAAAAACTTGGAGGAAAACGTTTTATGAACGCCGAGGAAGCAGTGGCTGCATTTCAAATGCCATTTAGAGACCCCTAAGGACTATTGGGTAACATGCTTTTCTCAATAGTTCCATCGGAAACAACGACGTATTGATGTAAATGGACATTATTTTGAAAAGATATAATAATACTAATAACTTGCTAGTTATTTCAGTTTTTGATTTTCTAAGATCTTTCAGTGTCACCCTCGTAGGCCCTATGAAGTAATGTTTAATGTGAACATCTTCAAAGCAAGAGTGAGGCTTAGGTTACGCTAAGACAGTGCGATTTACGATCTAAGACTTCATGACCACTGGCTGCAACGTACGTATAAATTCCTTTAGTGTCGCAGGCCACCTCTCCCAAAAAAAAAGTAAGGGCATGCCTATATTCAGTACTGGACATTTAATATTCCACAGTGTCTGAATAAACCCTCATTATCCCGATTCATTACCTTAACTAGTCTCCGCTGCAAGTATCCCGTCTCGGCAGTTTTAACCGCGGTGTCGACGAGCCCCTCGCGGCCGCCCATAGTGTGGAAAAAGAACTCGGTAGGAGTCAGTCCTGAGTAAAAACTGTTCTCCACGAACCCACGTGCCGCCGGGATTTTGGCTGCGGAAACATTGAACATGGATACTAAAAGTGTATTTCAAACGTGCAAATATGTTAATCTATTTATTATTCTTCCTTACATATGAAATTGGCGTTTTGTACGAGAGGAATATAAAGTCAATTTTTTTTTTGTAAAATATATTAAATTAATCAAAGTATGCACCGTTGTTATCTATGCAGTTTTGCCATATCATAGGTAGTTCATTGATCCCTTTACTAAAAAAAACCATGGGGGCGAGAATCAATAAACTCTTTGAAGGCGGTTTGGACTGCCGCATTGGAGTTGAATATTTTTCCTTGTTAGAAGTTATCCAAATTCTGGAAAAAATGGTAATTTGTTGGATCAAGGTCCAACGAGTACGGCGGATGTCGCAGTCTTTCAATTGTAGCTCATCTGACTTAGTGGTTGTTTGTTGTGCAGTGTGTGGTCTTGTGTTGCCGTGAAGCAGCAGTCGCCTAGAGCGATTGACCTATCTCAGTTGTTCAGCAGCTAGTTCTTTCTTCATGGTTTGCAGTTGTTAACAATAGATATCTGCCGTAATCATTTGGTCAGATTTAAGAAAGCTTTAGTGTAAGACACCGGCGGTTACATTAAAATAACTCACAATGCCTCTCAAAATGTGGCAGCGACCTGTCTTCAAAGCCGTTGGGCACTCGTTTCCCGTTCAACGCCTGCTGGCCCACGCACGCGATCATCTGCGAGATGTTGATGTTCGAACCTGGAACAAACACATAATTATTTCCGTATTTTAAACGTTTTCGTGGTAGTTGAGATATTGTGTCATATCATTATAAAATCCCACCACTGAACCTAGTACTTCCCACGTTTCGCAGATGGATTGACAACCGAAATTCTTTATTGTTTAAGTTGTTATCAGGAAGATGCTGCCATATCTCCTGTTTCGGACTCACGGGACGATTATGGGGTAGTGGATATTTTTACAACGCCACTACATGGTCATTGTGTCATGTATCTTTCTTTCCTTACATATAGAAACGATTTGAAAAATGTCATTTGGTTATTTATCTATAATAATTAGAAAAAAATATATAAGTGGATGCCGGCGTAAAGCAAACTATTGTTACATTTCTTTTTGCGAATGTAAAGACAATCACGAGAGATTCCATAAATTCTACGCAGTCTGCGATTTACAGCGGTATAACCATATCGTATTTATTTATTTATTTAAACCTTATTGAACCTCACATCAGTACCCACAGGATCAAAAAGTGGACTTAATGCTAAATGCATTCTCTGCCAGTCAACCTTAGAGCAGTGATAAAACTATGAGGATGGTTACAAATACACATTTAGCTATTATGTAATACGTACTAAAGGCGACACTGCATTCAGCTACTGTGTTCCACTCAACTGCGGTGCATACACCGCACTTTAATCAGTCACTCGCTAGGCGCTTGTAGAGTTGTCACGTGTTGTGTTGATTTAAAAAAATCTCTTGATAAAAATATGCCGTCGTGTGTACTTAGATATTGCACAAATAATTCAAAAAATGTCAGTAAAAACGAAGGAATTACTTTTCGTCGATTAATAAGATAAATCAATAACAAAATTCTTATAGATTAATAATAAAACAAATTATTCCTAAGACGCCATCTCGTGTCATGAAATATATAGATTATGAAATTTCAGATGCGACATTTCTGTGGGTATTTAAGTATAGGACGAATATATTATACACATTTTTTTTGTAGCAACATGTATAAGCTTTTATAATTAGGCTAAATTTTTCATTTCATTAAATCTGCTTATTATTCTTTTATTTTATTTTTAGGTTTCACATCAAAGTCAAAGTGGAATAGATTCGTCCATTTTTAACTATCGCGTGCCCAGTATTTATGAACGACTCTTATTCTAATTGAAATAAATATATTTGTAATTTAAATGTTATGTTAATAAGTTTTGTTAAACATACATTTAGTATGTTTTTTTTATATTTGACATGGATACCTTTTAAAATATTCAGATAAAAATATCATTAAAATGTAATTGTGATATAATTGAAATTATATTAAATAAGCAAATATAATATACAAAATAAATTACAAAATTTAAATATTGTTCTCGATATAATTTAGCTATTTAACAATACAATCTACTATTACCTGCGGGTCGTTCTACCTATATTTATTCTAAAAATATACCAACCGCGCGAACACAGAGTAGCGCACATTTTTGTTTGAGATAGCTGTTCTAGTACATAAGTGCATATTACTTCAATGCAAATACATTATATATATTATAAGTTACATAATATACCGATTAAATTAAAACAGAGATAACTACTATAAGGATCTCTGTCAGCTTAGTTCATCAGTTCATCATCAGCAAATACAATTTCCTAAAATTGCTTCATAATCTGCTAGTATATACATGATCTACAATACTCAAACTAGAATATGCGACAGAGAGATATGATCCTTAAGTTTTCAAAAATGGTTTGAACGCATTAAAAAAACTATTGAAAATTTAATGGAAAATATTTTGAAAAGCAGCAAATATTATATTAGCTTACATATAAATTGCTTTATTAGTGAGTTACGCAAAAGTTTTAGTGTGTTTCACATAAATAATGAAATGTTTGATAATGTTGATAATACCTTTTGAGCCACTTTGCGCCATTATAAGTGGCGCGTTGGTTGGATGCAGCTCTCGAAAGCAAGCCTTCGCAGCCAACTCTCTGTAACAAGTCAACGTAATCACAACGTTAACAGAGCGTATATTGGTACATATCCTATACCTTTAAAGGAGCAATTTTTGTATATTATTTATATATATATATATATATATATATATATATATATATATATATATATATATATATATATATATATATATACGGCTCCAACGATTTTCATAATATTTAGTGTCCAGGGAGTTTCGGGGGCAATAAATCGATCTAGCTAGGATTTATTTTTAGAAAATGTCTTTTTGTCCGTGTTTTCAGGCAATGAAAAACTGCTACAATATAAGAAGGTAAATTTTGACTCTGTGTTAATCTCTGTGTTATCGTAATAGCTCAAGTGGATATCGAGCGGTCGCGAAATCGTAATGCCTTGGTTCGCGTCCTGCTTCGGGTCAACTTATTTTCCTTTTTTTTTCAAGTTCCCTTCTTTTGTGAGAAAATCTATTATTTCGAGTCCTTTTTTCAGTATTTTTAAAAAATACGAAAATTTTAATTAAACTAATTGCATAAAAAACTTTAATTAAAACTGAGCTATATTACATGTTACTTATATATCTATATTACATGGAGGATCACAAATTAATAATAAACCATCTATTTTATGAATATTTAGATTTGTTTTTTTTATTTACAGTTGATGGATTAACAGATACTTATTATGTTACATGATATACGATACATTACATGATACTTATTATGTTGTAGCTCATTTTCATTATGTCTTATAGGTTTATCAGGTATACGTCGACGATATTCTGACTATCCTGATAGTTTTACCTGTATCTGTTCTAGAAGTCGTCGAAATTTATATGCTTAGAATTTGGTCTTCATGAGCGACTGTAGGAACTGGAGGCTTACGACGTGGAATAGAAGCCCAATATCTTGGTCCTCAAGGATGACAACACATCTGCCTTATAGGTTGATTGTTGTTATCTACGGAACCCCTTGCCATCATGGTGACTATCAGCTCGTTGACCCACTTAATCCTTCTCTTATAGGTTTATCAGGTATACGTCGACGATATTTTGACTATCCTGATAGTTTTACCTTTATCTGTTCTAGAAGTCGTCGAAATTTATATGCTTAGAATTCGGTCTTCATGAGCGACTGTAGGAACTGGAGGCTTACGACGTGGAATAGAAGTCCTCAAGGATGACAACACATCTGCCTTATAGGTTGATTGTTGTTATCTACGGAACCCCTTGCCATCATGGTGACTATCAGCTCGTTGACCCACTTAATCCTTCATTCACATTTTTATAAAAGCACTGTCAAAGATAATAGAGCGACTATATTATAGTTGTAACACGAATGAGTCAGCTCAACCAGGGAGGGTGGCTCACACAGAATATTAGCGTATATTAGCTTTTAATGCTAATGTGTTTCGTATGGTAAAGGTAGAAACCGGAGATCCTTGTTACTGGAAACGAGGCATTCCATCGCAGTCTTCCATATTGTCATAGTAGCTATATTCCAATATTGATATTGATATTGTTATTATAGTAGTAATTCCAAATTAAAAATACTGTAATATTAATAAATTATGTAATATATATGTATATATGTATGTATGTTTGTTTATATATGTATATATGGATGGATTTATATATATCATATATGTGTGTGTCTATAAGTTTAAGTATATGTTTATAGACTATAAATGAAATGGAGTAGACATTTAAAGGGAAAGCTTTCTAAAGTCAACCGTGCACTAATTCCGTTTATGTTAATATGTGTATGTGGCCCTCACCCCTCACTATACAGGTAGGTCTGCGTGCCTAGTGTGAAAACTACTACTAAATTATTTGTAAAGGTGCTAACTGTCAAAAAAATACCCCTCAAGGGTGATAACGCATCTGCATTTCGAGTAATAATCGAATATAGACGTAGATGTCTATGGGCCACAGTTTCACTAACCATCAGATGAACTGCGTGCTCGGTTTACACCCTTATTCTATAAAAAACACTACAGCCCATCACATGTTCACCGCTGATTATAGCCTCCCCATAGTTTACCACAAAATACGGCCTTGAGCCATCTGCATCCATCGACTCGCTACACGTTTCATCAAATCATCACTCCATTACACTTTGCTCATCTCTACGAGGCTGCCTAAAAGTTCAAGTAATACTACTGCTACTGAGAATTTTGTGACAGAAAAACCCAATAAATGATTCTTGACCTGACTCTGGTTTCGAACTTGGGACCACATGATCAGCATTTGCGTTTACGACCATTAAATAATAACAAAGTGCAAGAAAACGAACAGAAGAAATTTCTGGGAATAGAATTAGATAGTAATTGTAATTGAATGGCTCATATTGACGAAATTTGTAATAAAATTAATAGATTTGTATATGTTTTAAATAGGTTAAGAAGAACATCAAGTCAAACCGCACTCATTGAATATCATGGATATGTTGCAACAATATTAAGATACGGATTGTTAATTTGGGGTAATTGCTCTTATTCAAAAAGAGCTTTTATAGCTCAAAAAAAGTGTGAGAGCCTTAACTGGGGCCAAATGGTATGATTCCTGTAAGCCCTTATTTAAGGATCTTAACATACTGACTTTACCAGGTATGTACATATTTGAAGCAAGTGTTCATGTAAAAAAACATTTACATATGTACAAAAAAGCATCTGAGGTATACTTGCGTAGCAATCGAAATTCTAATAGACTAGTTATAGAACGTATACCTAAAACTGCATTTTATCATAATGGCGTGTAAAATGAGTGTAAAAATTTATAATAAACTTCCGGTAAGCATTATAGAAGAGACAGAAACTGGTAAATTTAAAACCAAACTAAAAAGCTGGCTACTATTAAAGTGCGTTTATGACGTAAAACAATTTTCAAATGAATAGAATCTTGTTGCCTGAATTTGATATTATTGTATTCTTTTAGACTATTTTTGTGTAATCTGTAGATTTTATATATGTACTTTTTTGACATGATGATTGTATTTTAATTTTATTTGATTTAAATGAATAATGCATATTTAAATTCTTTGTTTGAAATAATGATTGTAGTTTTAATTTTTTTTAATTTATATTTATTTGTTTTAAATTAATCAATGTAGGTACATGACTATGTCTTTTCATTTAATTAATAATTTTCGCATGCCAGATGTGGTAAACATGTGGACTATATACAATATCCAATATTTGTCACCTCTGATGTACCATGTTTAAGCGAATAAATGAAATTATTATTATTAAACCAAGAAGGCAGTCAAAAGTGTTAAAACTATAATAATTTTAAAGGCGTCCCGCTTAAGAATCTTTCTTCTCCATCGGATGTCGGTTCTATGAGCTATATGACCGACCCACTGCCACTTCAGTCTAATTCGTTTGTTACTTTAGTATGTATTATTAAATACATATTTTGCGTTATTTTATCTATTATTATTTAATCCCATAGTCAGATATTACAAAAAAAAATATTACCTGATACTACTCAATTCGCTGAGCATCATTGCTTCTAGGGTCTCCTCCATGCTGCATCCGGGCTGACATTGCAACGTGCCTTTCTCCATTTCCAGGATGTAGCCGTCACACTTGGAGTACCTTAAAGTTTCAAATCAATTTATATTGTTTAGAATCTTACACGAAGAATAATAACTAACATGTTCACAAAAAATGATAAAATACACCCGATCTATAAATGACCGCACAAGAAATCAGATAATGTGATAATTTGAGTAATGTTTAGTTAAAAACGAAAACAAATCTTAGATTACTTAATATTTGCTTGTATATTCATTTGTATTTATACGTGGTAGAGCCACGCTGCAGCTATATTATGGTTGTAGCACGAATGGGTCGGCTGGACCGGGGCAGGACCACGCTCTCACAGAATACCAGCGTTAGCAGGTAAATGCTGCTGTGTTTCGTATGCAGCGTGTTTTTTTTTTAAGAATAAGGGTGACAAACGAGCACACAGTCCACCTGATGGTAAGTGGAAGCTGTGACTCATAGACATCAACATTTATTCTCGGTTAAGAATCAAAATGCAGATGCGTTGTCACCCGTGAGGACTAATATGGAATGCCTTGTTTTCCAGTAAAAATGGTCTCCGGTTCTCTACACTTACCATACGAAACACAGCAGCATTATGCCGCTATTTTACTAGTATTCCGTATTATTTCCGTATACGAGCGTAAAGAACTAGAGACCCTTTTTACTGGTAACGATGCATTATATCTTAGTCCTCAGAGGTGACAGCGCATCTGCATTTTAATTCTTAATTAAGGATAGATGTAGATGTCTATGGTCCACAGCAACCACTTACCATCAGTTGGATTGTGTGCTCGTTTGTCACGCTTAACTTTTAAATAAAGTTTAAGTTTTAACTTTCAAATACTATTAATATTATTAATGAGTGAAGAAAGAATGAAAGTGAGATAGTTGATATAAAATGTAATGCTCACCCAGACTCCAACAATTTATTTTTTGCTTCGATAAGTTTTTTGCCCGGCGTCACGTCGATTATACCAAAGCTGAATCCCCTATTCATCATGTAGTAAGACGCCATACGCGCTAGCCTGTAAATAAAAAGTAAATTACAAATTAACCCTTCTACCACAACGTCAACTCACAGACAAGGGTCTCAGTCATAATTAAGAATGTAGTTTGTAGTAGGACAGCAAGGGATACCACAAGACACGATTCTGAGCCACCTGCATCCATCAACTTTCTCATTTAGAAAATGAAATTTTTGAATTGAGAAACCACTTGAAGACGTTACTTCACCATCGGTTGTCAATTCCTTAAACTATATGGCCCGCCGCCTGTCCATTGCCACTTAGCTTATTGATCCTTTGTTCAACCGACTTTTCTTTTATAGGATAAGGGTGACAAACGAGCACACAGTCCACCTGATGGTAAGTGGATGCTGTGTTCCATAGACATCTTCATTTATCCTCGATTAAGAATCAAAATGCAGATGCGTTGTCACCCCTGAGGACTAAGATGGAATGCCTCGTTTCCAGTAAACAAGGGTCTCCGGATCTCTACACTTACCATACGGAACACAGCAGTATTAAGCTGCTATATTACGTTGGTATTCTGTAAATGCGTGGTCCTGCCCCGGTCGAGTCGACCCATTCGTACTACAACCATAATATAGCTGTAGCGTGGCTCTTCAAAAGGAGTATGTACTCTATTCGATTTTATGTTTTTTATGTGTGTTACCTCAGAACTTTTTTCTAGGTGAACCGACTTTGATGATTCTTTTTGTATTTGAAATCTCGTGTGGTCCTATATAAATTTGATCAAGATCTGATCATTAGTTTTTGAATTATTCTTAATAATCTGTAGTTATTTGACTTGGAATACATAGATGATGTTCTCATTTCATTTATATTGAAGTCGTTTGTACAAAATATTTAATTTTACCACTTGTTTTTAATTAAAAAACGTTATCCCCACACTAGGATTTTCTCCTGTATCGTGAAGGCAGTTTACACACATAAATCTCACAAGAACAAGCACCCAGACCCGGAACAATAATTTGTAGGTGATACAAATACTTGTTCCGGTATTCGAAACCGCGGCTACCAGCGCTGCAACATATTGCTAAGTCAATGCCCTACAGACGCGTCAACTTTCAATTGGTTCTACTGCGGAGATCTTCATTACGTTTAACATTACGAGTAACTGCGAGCACAGCCCTGTCCATGGAAAACCATATATTAATCCTTGTATTTATCCCCCTTGAGTAAAGTACCAGCCTACATTAGTGTGGTAACACATAATGTGGAACTTTGCAAAACTGTAATGGGCAACACTTTTCCTCTCTCTCTCTCCCTAAATTTTGTAATAATTTGTGTAGTAATTGATTATCTTCTCTCGCTTGCTCTCTCTCTCTCTCTCTCTCTCTCTCTCTCTCTCTCACGACATATAAAAACATAAGTAAGTGTGCAGTTAATAAAAATTCGTGGACCAATTAATTTCGTGTTTTGATTGCAATACTAAATTATTACTATAAATCATAATCAAAAATAACATATCGGGTCTGCAATGCTGACATTTTGAAAACTGGCACCGAGCATATAGTCAATTGCTAATAACATTTTCAATTGCCGCCGAAAATTCAACCATTTTTTTTTAAAATAAGCCTAGAGATACGCCCCGGCTTTGCACAGGTGATTTCTGGATCTCGACAACAGCGCCACCTACCGGATCGAATTGTGAATCTAAGCCATTTTCGAATCGACTTAATCACACATAAAAAATTTCATCGAAATCTATCCAGCCGTTTAGGAGTTCAGTCACATACACACGGACAGAAGAATTATATAATCTGTATATAAAGATATCTGGGTTCTAATGTGCAGTTGAAAGTGGAATATAGCATGCTAAATGTACAAAATTTTTAAAAAAATAAGGTCGAATTTCGACCACTGCTGAGCCGTGGTCGCTCATTACGCAAGCAATCCGTGTTCGATCAATGGCACTAATGATGGCACCAATTAAATGATTAATTGCAATTTTAAGTGCTGATTTACCACGTGCTCGGCGGTGAAAGAAAACATCGTGAGGAAACCTGCATGTCTATAAAACAAAATAAAAGATATTTCGAAGACATGTGAAATTTAACAACACGCATTGGGGCAGCGGGGCGGACACTTCCTTGCCCTAAAACCCTCTCAGAACTGAGAAGAGGTCTGTGCCTAGCAGTGGGCCGTATATAGGCTGAAACTTTAACTAGGCGACCACTAGTTATTATAAAAGTTCACCTCCACATGCCCCTGACCGCGAACTCCTCCCCCCAGTCCCGCAGCAGGATGTAGAAGATGCTGCTCTTGGTCCCCGAGCCCAGCGTGCTCTTATCCATCGAGCCGCACAGCAGTTCCGAGTTCCTTATTATAACATCTGCAGACAACACATCCTCATTTTTTTATAGTACAAGGGTGACAAGCGAGCACACAGTCCACCTGATGGTAAGTGGATGCTGTGGTCCATTGACATCTACATTTATCTTTAATTAAAATGGACTGATATGGAATGCATCGTTCCCAGTATAAAACACTCACCATATGAAACACAGCAGCATTCAACTACTATTTGACGCTGGCATTCTGTGAGAGCGTGGTCTTTTACCGGTCGAGCCGACCCATTCGTTCTGCAACCACAATATAGCTGCAGCATGGTACTAAGCTGTTTTTTTATTCTAGTGTGTGTGTGTGTAGGTTCGTTACAAATAATCGATGTAGAAGATTTTTAATTGAGTTTTGTACAAGCAAGCAGAATTATACCGTGTAATTGCGGAGTAAGACCATCCACTACCCCATAACATCCCGTGGGTGTCGTAAGAAACGATAAAGGAAAATGAAACATGTATAAAAAAAAACTGCGGTTGCTTCTCCACCTGCCAAGAATGGTAACTATGCTAACATTCCCCTATAACGGAATCTTTGTGGAAAAATCATTGAAGTAATATGTACTTACGTACTAGAACAGCTATCTCAAACAAAAAATGTGCGCTACTCTGTGTTCGCGCGGTTGTTTTTTTTATCATAGAATAAACATAGGTAGACTGATCCGTAGGTAATAGTAGATTGTATTGTTAAATAGGTAAATTATATCGAGAACAATATTTAAATTTTGTCATTTATTTTGTATATTATATTTGCTTATTTAATATAATATTACATAATATTATATCACAATTACATTTTAATGATATTTTTATCTGAATATTTTAAAAGGTATACACACATACATAAACACTCACGCCTGTCACCCAGAGGGGTATGCAGAGACTACAGACTTCCATTTGGCACGATCCTGACACACCTCTCTCGCCTCCTTCACATCCATACACCTACGCATACATGCTCGTCGGTTAAGGGTACTCCTAATTTGGCCTGTTTTCAATAAATCGCCAATTTGGTAGATGAATTTTCGCCTAGGACGTCCCTTTCCGACTCTGTCATTCACTTCTGCACCATAAATTTTCTTTGTCACTCTTTCCTCATTCATTCTTTCCACATGACCAAACCACCGAAGCATTACTTTCTTAATCCTGGTCACAACATCATCTTGCAAACCACACTCTTCTCTTATTACACAATTACTTACCCTGTCATTCAGATTCAGCCCTAACATACTCCTTAACGACCGCATTTCTACTGCGTTCATTCTACTCTCGTACTTCTTCTGCTACACCCAACTTTCACTACCATACGTTAAAGTAGGGACCAACACAGCATTGTGAATTGCCATACGTGCCTTTTTCGACACATTTTGACTCTTCACAATAGAGTGTAGGGCCCCATTTATTCTATTTCCTGCATTCACTCGTCGTTCTATATCTTTATCACATCTCCCATCCCTGCTAAAAGGTATCTATGTCTATGTAAAAAACATACTAAATGTGTGTTTAACAAAACTTATTAACATAACATTTAAATTACAAATATATTTATTTAAATTAAAATAAGAGTCGTTCATAAATGCTGGGCACGCGAGATTTAAAAATGGACGAATTTATTCCACTTTGACTTTGATATGAAAACCTAAAAATAAAATAAAAGAATAATAAGCAGATTTAAACATGAAAAATTTAGCCTAATTATAATAACTTATCTATCTTTCTACAAAAAAATGTGTATAATAATATATTCGTCTTATATTTAAGTACCCACAGAAATGTCGCATCTGAAATTTCATAATCTATATTTCATGACACGAGATGGCGTCTTAGGAATATTTTGTTATATTATTAATCTATAATACTTTTTTATTGATTAAGTATCTTATTACCCGATGAAAAGTAATTCCTTGGTTTTTACTGATATTTCTTGAATTATTTGTGCAATATCTAAGTACACACGACGGCATATTTTTATCAAGAGATTTTTTTTTAAATCAACACAACACGTGACGACTCTACAAGCGCCTAACGAGTGACTGATTAAAGTGCGGTGTATGCACCGCAGTTGAGCGGAACAGAGTAGCTGAATGCAGTGTCCTCTAGTACGTAGTACGTAATAGCTCAATGTGGAAAATTAGTTTTATTTCTATCTTATGAAAATTGAACGAAATCAAACAATTCTAGCTTGCGATCGCCCCGGCCAGTGCCCGCCGAGAAATTGAACTTGAACGTACGTTTTTCTGCAATCTCTTATTCGTCTATTTTTATTTATTTAATAATTTATGTACATACAAAGTAATAATAATAATAATAATAAAAAATTGTAAAAAGGTTTATTTACTCGACTAATTCACTCAACAATGACTTTCTGCCAACAATACGGTATTAACATCAATGGCAAGCACATCACTCACCTTCGACTTGCCGACGATATAGTCCTTATGGCAGAATCGCTGGAGGACCTAAGCACTTTGCTTAATGATCTCAATAGTGCCTCCCAATAGATAGCTCTTAAGATGAATATGGACAAATCAAAGATCATATGCAGCGTCCATGTCACATCTATGCCGGTAGATGTTGGGAACACTAAGCTCTAGCTAAGTGGCAAATAGTCCTACTTGGTTAGTCCAACTTCGACCGAGAGGTCAATCGACGGATTCAAGCAGCCGAGTTGTAGTTGGCGCGATTATGACCCATCTTTTCGTCAGGTATACCTCAAAACTTGAACACGAGATTGTACAACCAGTTCGCGTTGCTACTCATGGATCTGCTCAAAGCTCCATAGAGCTCACGGTCGCTCAGCGAGCTATAAAGAGAGCTATGTTCGGGGTTTCTCCACGTGATAAACTTTAAAATGAAGATATTCGTAGTAGAACCAGAGTGACCGACATAACCCAACGTATTAGCAAGCTGAAGTGACAACGGGGCGGGCTATATAGCTCGAACAACGGACAACTGATGGGGAAGAAAGGTTCTCAAGTGGCAGCCTCGTACCGTTGGGTGAAGTGTAGGGCGACTCACCACTAGATGAAGTGACGACCTGGTAAGACATGCAGGAAGCCGATTTCGATTTTTTAAAAGTAGAAAAATAAAAAAAAATACAAACCAGTGAACCATTGTTTTTGTGTATATACGTACTCTAGAAACCGATAAACATTTTTTTCAATCACAAATTCTCAATCATAATGAAATTGTGTAAGAAACAATTTCACATTAGTCCCAAATGGCGACAACTAGTGAGCGATTTATTAGCAGTTTTCATAATAATAATGTCCTCCAGACCGAATTTCGGTCACGGCGGCCAGCCTCAACGGAGGTTAGCCATCGGCGCAGGACAGGATTATAGTGCCCAAGTGTATGCGCAAGCACAGGTGCACTCTCTCTTCCCCTCACTCTCATAATCCGATGGGACGGTAAACCGACACGACCGGAGAGAGATCAGGCGCAGGACCAACGGCTTTACGTGCTTTTCGAGGCACGGGGGTGAGACACCGCCAGCTTCCTGACTCCGGACAGCTACTGAGAATTTCTTGACGGAAAAACTCAATAATTGATTCTTGGCCCGACCCGGGATTCGAACCCAGGACCTCATGAGCAGCAGTCGCACTACTGCAACCGCTAGACCAACGAGGCAGTCAATGTTTTACACACAAATAATTAAGGCTCCCAGTGTGGTAATGAGACCCAAAAAATAAATATAAGTATGATTAACACTTACAAGAGTCTTGCACGCACATGTCCTGGTTACCCGTATAATTCTTGCCTTTCACTTCTAAATTGGCTTTCACCTCGCATCGTTTGTTCGGTTTCATTATTAAACTGAAAGAAATATGGAAGCACGCACAATTAAGAAGAACAACAAATAGAACATGATAATAGACAGAAATCATATGTCAATGCAATGAATCAAAATATTTAGGCGTTCATTCCTTGACAGCTTACCAAATTGAAATAATACTAGTTTTTACGGAATTTATCGCGTATATTTAACTTTTTAAATACCCGACGTTTCGAACGCTTTACAGCACTCATGGTCACGGGCAGGACTGAGATGTTCAACGTCCATATGTCATAGTTAACCACGGTTACCATAGATTAAAATTTAACTTTTGTTCCGATCTATGCAGTATGAACTTATGGTATCTTGAAGTCTTGCAGTTGTATGCTTGGGTTGGGATTTAATTTTATTTATTATAGGATCCCAAGCAGATGGTAGCACCCAGCCATCTTCTCTATTGAAATTAGGATGTTTTTTGATTTCAATAGCCTCGCGAATCATCCTTGGAAGGAATCGGTGTTCTTTAGCGAGGATCTGCGGTCTATCAAATCTGATGTAGTGACGGGGGCGATCCTGTACGTGTTCACAGACTACAGACTTCCCGGAGCGTCGATTCTTCACATCAGCTATATGTTCTTTAACGCGGGTTTTTATTGATCTTTTAGTTTGTCCTATGTAGGAGAGATCACATTCACAATCAAGCTTGTACACTCCTGCATCTTGCAGAGGGACATTACACTTGACCGATGGTAAAAACTGACCAATCTTCTTCAGCGGCTTGAAGTATGTTTTGATGGAAGCGCCCTTCAAGATGTAGCCAATCTTGTCAGTGACTCCTCTAACATATGGCAGTACAGCAGGTACACGCTCGACTGTGGCCGGCTTCACTCGATCACTGTGACGTAGGCGCGGGACTCGAAGCTTGTTGTCATGCAAAACTTGCTTGACATGGTGCAGCTCTGCAGCCAGGTGTTTACTGTCACAGATCCCTCGTGCTCTCTGAAACAAAGATTTACCCACGGTAGCTAACTGTGAAGGATGGTGGTAAGAATCACCGTTTAAATATCTATCTGTATGGGTCTTTTTTCTATACACAGTATGGCTCAAGGTGTTATCAGGATTCCGAATTACTAACACATCTAGAAAAGCTAAGGAATTGTTTGCCTCTAACTCCATTGTGAACTGAATTTTAGAATTTATAGAGTTAAGATGGTCTTAAAATGCAGTTACTTTATCTAAAGGTAGAATTGTGAAAGTGTCGTCTACATACCGCTTGTAGAACCTTGGATTTATGGGAGAACTAAGCAGGGCTTTCTCCTCAAAGTCTTCCATGAATATGTCGGCGACAATGGGAGATACAGGTGAGCCCATCGCCACACCATCTACTTGCTTGTAGAACTCCTCCTTCCACAATAGGTAGCCAGATGTAAGACAGTGTCTGAGTAATACTGCATATTCTACGGGCATGTTGTTTTCTTCCAGCCTTCTAGTTACAATTGAGATGCAATCTTCAACAGGTAAGCATGTAAACAATGACTGCACATCAAAACTGACCATAGTTTCATTGTCTGCCAGATGTAGGTCTTTAATCTCGCTGACAAAATGGTAGGAATCCTTTATGTGTGCTCTTCTATGTCCCTTGAGTGGTGAGAGTATTTTCGCTGAGCCAATCTGTAAGTTGGTGAATCGATTTGGCTCACTATGGGACGTAATGGAGCATTGGGCTTGTGTATTTTTGGTAACCCATACAATTTTGGTGATTTGGCGCACGTAGGTATTATTCATTTTACGTCCAGATTTAATTTTTCGGAGTGTTTCTTTATGAGGTCACTAGTTGTTTTTAGTGTGCTATTTGTTGGGTCGTTTTTAACCTTTTTATAAGTACTTACATCCGACAAAAGTTCTTGATTCCATCCATCCATCCGACAAAGTTCAAAATACCATAAGTTCATACTGCATAGATCGGAACAAAAAGTTAAATTTTAATCTATGGTAACCGCGGTTAACTATGACATATGGACGTTGAACATCTCAGTCCTGCCCGTGACCATGAGTGCTGTAAAGCGTTCGAAACGTCGGGTATTTAAAAAGTTAAATATACGCGATAAATTCCGTAAAAACTAGTATTATTTCAATGTGTAGTGTTCGCGTAAATATAAGAAAGCTTACCAAATTCCACTGCAGAACATTGGTTTCCCGCAATGATTGCCTCAAAAGGTATGGAGTATATTTCTCATAATTGGCATGCAAAGCGAGCGGGTTGACAACCGCTGTTTTTTATTTTTAGTCGTTATTAGGGAGACTCTGTTGTCTATCTCCTGATTTGTTTCCTTCTGTCGCCTGTTACGACACCCACGGGATGATGGGGTAGAAATTTATATATATATATTTATATATATATATATATATATATATAAGGTATAGAGTGGACATTGAGAACATTTGCATTCAAAAACTGTGAACTTGGCGTGTGTTACGCCCTCTAGCGAAACAGCAATACTATGCCGAATACTTATCAGGAAAACATTTTAGCTATTCCCCATTAGGTGACGCTACTAAATATAAGGTAAAAATCCGTTTTATGCACGTCATCAAGTACTAACACACTGGTAAATAAATAGTGACATTACTGGATAACAGAGGGCGCTTATTACAATAATAAATGATCTAGAACAATCTACTAGAATGTAATAAAAAAATTAAGGTATTGTTTCGACCGCGCATATTTTATTTAAAAATGTTTTTTTAATTTATAAAACGAATACGTCTTGACCTTTTGACGATTTTTGTCATTAAGACTAAATGACAAAAATCGGAAATATATCCTATAGGACAAAAGTTACAGACGACAATTTTGTTGCTGATGTCCGGTCTATTACTACTACATACTTAAATGTCTTTGTGGGGTGGTGAATAGATATGCTTACACCGTCACTACACAGTAAAAAAAGAAACCATTACGTAACCAAGAAGCTCACCTAAAAATCTGCTTCCCCGTCCACAGCACCCTCGGCTTGAGGATCGCGGGCTCGGGCATGTCGATCCTCATGGTGCTGTCGGGCCCGGCGAGTAGACAGCTGGCCAGCTGCTGTGCCTCCGCACGCGTGAAGAACGTGTCGCGCTGCGTGATCAGGTACCCGCCCGTGATGAAGTCCTGCGTGGCAGCGATCAGCAGCTCGCCGTTCCGCGGTGTTACCAGGTTCGATTTGTTCTAATGGTATTAGGGTTTTGTACATGTAAATTTATTTTCCAAATCATTAGGCAATAGGCACCATCATTAATGAATTATTAGGTACACTATATGTACAGTTTGAATTAGCTATTTATGGAAATAGTACATACAATCTTTTCCAAAAAAAAAGCCCTGATGAGTTTCGTGCTGGTTCAAGAAATATAGGTAAAAATATAGAACTACTTTCAATAAGAAATACATGTAATCTATATAATAAAAAAGTATTCCTATCACATTCTATTCTGCCTCAAAACTTGACGATTTACCCTTTTAAAAAATATCCATCCATTACAGCCTATAAAAGTCCTGAACTGCTGAACATAGACCTCTCCCACAGATTGCCTCATAGGGGACATAGTTGCCATAGTTGTAATGTTACTGTTGATTTAATAATTTCACCTCTCAGTGGGTCATGTGCTCCTGGTAGATTATCTTCAGTACATCCATCCATTACAGCCTATTAAAGTCCACTGCTGAACATAGACCTCCCCTATAGATTGCCATTTTTTGCCATAGTTGCCACGCTTGGTAGGCGGGCTGGCAGGCAGCCACAGTTTTTATAACGTTGAATTGTTATCAGGATGATACTGCTATCTTCAATTTCAGGTTATACTTACACCACCAATACATAGTAAAAATTAAATTTCTATTATTTATTAATATGGAGGTATGGTATGCAGGTCAGTTAATATTGCTGTACGAATCAATGATAAAAGTTAAAGACTCAGCCAGCTCAGGCGGGCTAACTGGGCCGATTTTGATTAAAACATAAACATCTCTGAGTAGTATTACTTACCCCCATAAGTATGAGCGCCTCTGCCCGGGCCTCCTCAGTCTGCGGCAGATGCATGTTCATTTCGTCACCGTCGAAATCTGCGTTGTATGGTGTACACACGCACTCGTTGAACCTAAAACAAGGTTCTTGTAAATCCAGATATAAATAAAACTTAAGGAACTATATTAATGAATATTGACGTGTTATTTAGGAATATAATTATTAATTGAATTGTTTGATAATTGACAGTATTGTTGTCGTTAAAAACCAAGACGTGAAGAGCATGTATTCTAGTTGCACAGCAAACTCTATTCATAGTGATGAGGCCTTTGTTGACAATTCCAGTCGCAGTTGTATCTGTGTATGTTATAAGATATATCAAAGAAATAAACCAATTATTTCTTATAGTATCACCTTAAATTTTTTCATGTCATGCAGTAAACTAATATATTTTACTTTTTAGGATAACTTAAGCAGTTCGATTAAAAAAAAATTATATTTTTTAAATATCTTGTTGTGAAAAGATTTTAACATAATGCGAATAGTTTGGAACCATCAGGTGTCACTCAACTATAGTAGACAAAATACCTTATCCAGCTGCTAATTGACATGATGGGTGAATAAGAAGGAAGTACCCTCACCGGAACGTCCTCTGCGGCTGTACACGAGCTCTGTGACACATGATGGACAGTTTGTGTAGCGATGGCTGCCGATTGAACAGCACCACATCGCCGTCCACTAGATGCCGCTCCACTATGTCACCGCACTGTGGTAAAATGGTTCATTTATAGAATGAGGGTGACAAACGAGCACACAGTCGACCTGACGGTAAAAGGATTCTGTGGCCTATAGACATCTACATCTATGTTTGGTTGTAAATTGTCAACAAATAGACCTCAATGTTACCATAATGTCAAATTCTTAGGAACCTTCAAGAATAGAGCTTAATCCTTTTCAAAAGGCCGGCAACGCACCTGCAAATATACTGGTGTTGTGGTTGTTCATAGACGGCGGTAGTCACTTACCATCAGGTGAGCTGCATGCTCGTTTGCCCCCTCTTCTTTAAAAAAAAAACTCTAAACTCTAGAGAAGTAAAAATTACTATGTAATTATCTTCACTACATAAACAGTACAATTAAGTGCAATTTAATGGCATCTCTCGTAGTAGAAAAGATAGCAGTAATCACCACGCCTGGAAGGAGGACAAGTAATCGCTGAAACCCTTCGCCCACTCCCCTAAGTCTTCTCTTATGCTGCCATCACATAGCAAGCAATTTGTAAGAACTAATTAATGATTCAACGATTTTGCGTGGTAGATCCACGAGCTAGATTACGGTTGTAGCACGAATGGGTCGGCTCGACGGAGTAAGACCACGCTCTTGAAGAATACCAGCGTAAAATAGCAGTTTAACACTGCTATGTTTGTTGTTTATGTCTTGCGTACGGTGGCTGTAAAGAACCGGAGATCCTTTTTTCTGGAAACGAGGTATTTCATCATATTTCTCAGGGGTGACAATGCATCTGCATCTTGATTCTTAATTGAGGATAAATGTATATGTATATGGGGTACAACTTCCACTTACCATCAGGTGAGCTGTGTGCTTGTTTGTTACCATCATCCTATGAAAAAAAAACGTAGACATAAGCAGATAGCTCTGACCTTGAGCTCCTGCGCGATCTTCTCGCGGTTGCCGTACTTGAGGTACTTCTTGTGGCTGAGACCGCGCTGCTGCACGTAGTTGGCGCCGGGGTGCGCGTCGGGCCCGGTGCGCACGAGGCGGCGCAGCCACGCCAGGTTAGCCGGGAACACGCGCTCCGGGTATGTCAGCACCCGCGCCACGTGCACCGGCACCCCCACCTCCACAAACCAAACACCTTAATACTGCAGTGTTTTCTACGGTCACTCATTCATCCATCCGTTATAGCCTGGTGCGGCCACAGGCTGTCCCTTCGAATCCGGGTCGAAGAACCAGAAAATGGATGCTAATGGTCCTGTAAGGGCTGCGCCGGGACCCCCACGTGGTCGGTTGACAGTAGTTGATAGTAAATGATAGTCAGTACCGGGAAGTTTATAATTGATAGTTTATTTATAGAACCAACTAAACCTAATTTAAGGATAGATGGGAAATGATACTGCGAGCACGCGTGACCGGTATTGCTGGGCTCAATTAGCGTACTGAATCAAAATGCATTATTGTAGCGTAATAGCGTAAACTGCCGACGCCACAAAAATTTACGTGCTACAGCCCGTACAGGTTCCTGGGTTCGATTGCCGGGTCGAGCCGAAATTAATTATGCGAGATCAATTTTCTTGTGGACTGTATGCATGGTTCCCTATAACTAAACATGATGGCTGATGTGGCACGTGGCAGGCTTGGGCAACGCACTCGTTATTACCTAATCTATTATCCAGCCAGTGCTCCGTGCGGGAATTAAACTTGAGCTGTTAGGAGAAAAGGGACACAGTAAAGAAAACAAAGAACAGCTCAAGGCAATTAAAAGGAGGCACTGACCGGGGTGGGGTCCCTTCTGCTTCAGCCTGGAGGACGATGCCCCTGGTATTGCGACTGCGTTGAGAAGAGAAAGACGCAGTGCGCGACGTTTTGCACTATGCGAAGCGGTTATTTCTAGATTGTTCTGTGGCCGACTGCCACAGAGGTGCAATCACAGCTAGCGTTGGTCTTCAACTGCGATGCACGAAGACCGAACGACGGCACGTCGACGTCCTTTATTGGTCGGCCATCTTCACTTTAATCTCGGCGGGGCGCGTTTCTTTATTGGCCGAAAAGATAATGCCACATTCTGGCTCCTTCCCCCCCCACCCATTCAGTGCGTCTGGAAGGAATGCGCGGATGGGATGGAGAGAGGCACTGGCTAGATACCAATCAAATAAACAAAATGCGAGGGTACCCGTTTTCGGCGCAATCATAGCCGTTACCATAACAGTTCACTGCTGAACCTCCCCCATAGATTGCCACATAGTGATAATTGCCACAGTTGCCACGCTTATGTTTACGTTGTTGCTGCCCATCACCTGTTTCAATGTCCTTCTGTCGCCACTTACAATATCAAAGGGAAGATATGAGGTAGTGAATATTCTTACACCGCCACTACACGGTAAGGTGAATGTAAAAACCCAACGACAGTTTTTTTTTTCTGAAAGACACAGTACTACACAGGAAAGTTTTTAATCGGCCATAAAATCAATATGAATACTTGGTTGGTAGAGAATCTAATCCCTAATAAAACGCGGCATTTGTATTAAATACTTTATGGGAGGGCAATAAAGATAAAATAAATAAATAACTCTTCTGCATATAAGAAGTCCGATCACTACTCTATTCAATTTTAAAGGGCACGAGAGCCAGTATAGTGCGGGATAATAGTATATTTACGGAGTATATTTACGGGTAATGAGGCATTTAATCATTCTTCACATAATTCACACATCATAGTATTATATGCTAACTAATGATCAAAATTCGACGATAATTCATTAAGCTTTTTCATCATCATCATCATCATCATTACAGCCCTTCACAAGTCCACTGCTGAACATAGGCCTCCCCCAAGTAATGCCACAAAGCACGGTCCTGAGCCACCTGCATCCATCGACTTCCTGCATGTCTTACCAGGTCGTCACTCCATCTAGTGGGGGTCGTCCTACACTACGCCTACCGGTACGAGGCTGCCACTCGAGAACCTTTCTTCCCCATCGGTTATCGGTTCTTCGAGCTATATGGCCGGCCCATTGCCACTTCAGCTTACTAATCCGTTGGGCTATGTCGGTCACTCTGGTTTTACTGCGGATATCCTCATTTCTGAGTCTATCACGCAGAGAAACTCCAAGCATAGCCCTCTCCATAGCTCGCTGAGCGACCTTAAGCGTCCTCATACGGCCAGCAGTGAAGGACCACGTCTCAGATCCGTAAGTCATCACTGGCAACACGCACTGGTTGTACAATCTAGTTTTTAGAGATTGAGGTATACCTGACGAAAAGATATGTCGTAATTTCCCGAACGCTGCCCAGCCGAGTTGAATCCGTCGATTGACCTCTCGGTCGAAGTTGGACTTACCTAGTCGGACTATTTGTCCCAGGTAAACGTACTCGTCAACAACTTCGAGCATAGTGCCCCCAACAACTACCGGCATAGGTGTGACATGGACATTAAACATGATCTTTGTTTTGTCCATGTTCATCTTAAGACCTATCCGTTGGGAGGCACTATTGAGGTCATTGAGCATAATGCTTAAGTCCTCCAGCGATTCTGCCATAATGACTATATCGTCGGCAAATCGAAGGTGAGTGATGTACTCGCCATTGATGTTAATACCGTATCCTTTCCAGTCCAGTAGCTTGAAAACGTCTTCCAACGCAGCGGTGAAGAGTTTCGGGGATATAACATCACCCTGTCTTACACCTCTCTGCAGTTGGATAGGTTTCGAACTCTGGTTCTGTACTCGGATAGCCATCGTAGCCCTACTGTACAAACACTTCAGCACTTCGATGTACCGACAGTCAACTTGGCACCGCTGAAGGGACTGTAGCACCGCCCAAATTTCGACGGAATCAAAGGCTTTCTCATAGTCCACATATGCCAGGCAAAGTGGCAGATTGTACTCTTCGGTCTTCTGTACAATCTGCCGCAGGGTATGTATGTGGTCTATGGTACTGAAGCCTTTTCGGAAACCGGCTTGTTCGGGAGGCTGGAAGTCGTCGAGTCTGCGTGCGAGACGATTCGTAATGACTCTCGAAAATAGCATGTAGACGCGGCTCAGAAGGGAAATCGGTCTGTAGTTCTTCAAGAGAGCGTTGTCGCCTTTCTTAAAGAACAAAACCACCGCGCTTCTGCTCCACGCCTCCGGAGTAGTGCCACCATGGAGGACGGAATTGAAGAGCTTCCGAAGGACTTCAAGTACCGGTTTTCCACCCGCTTTCAGAAGCTCCGCTGTAATTCCATCCTCGCCCGGGGCCTTGCCGTTTTTAAGGTGGTGGAGAGCCATTCTAATCTCGCTCAGACTGACGTCCGGGATATCATCGGAATAGTGTCGGATAAGACTTGCTCTTGGATCGTTACTCACACTTACGTGTGGCTCCAACGATGATGTGTACAGCTGCCCATAGAACCTCTCAATCTCACTCAAAATCTCAGGTGTCCCGGAAACGATGTTGCCACACTCAGTCTTCAGCTTTGACAGTTGGCTCTTTCTGGCAGACAGATCTCTGGCAAAGACTTTGGAGCCCTGGTTCCGCTCGATCGCTTCTTTAATACGAGAAGTATTAAAGTTGCGTAAGTCTCGCCGCATGCATTTGGAGATCTGTCTGTTCAGTTGCCTGTATGCTGTCAAATCTGTTGACGATTGCAGCCTCATCTCCCGTCTAACAGCCATGAGATTAAGAATGTGATCGGAGAGTTTTTGTGTTCTTCTGCGGCGGGTCTTGCAGAACTTAGCTCCGACCGCATGGACAGTTTCCACGAGCTTGTCGTTCATATCGTCCACTGCATTGCAATCTTCTAGGCACTGGAAGCGGTTACGTAACTCGAGCTGAAAGGTTTCGGGATTCTGGATTAGAGCACGAGGGGGACGGAGCGTTGACTTCATTAGACGAGACCTCTCCAACTTAACGTTTAGGTTCAGTGTGCCTCTAACCATTCGGTGATCGCTGCCAGTTTTCACCCTTGCGATCACTGAGACATCACTGAACAGCTGGCGTCTGGTCGTCATAATGAAGTCAATCTCATTTTTTGTCGAACCGTCGGGGGCTCGACCAGGTCCACTTCCTGTGGGGCCGCTTCTGGAAGAAAGAGTTCATCATAAAGAGTCCCTCTTTCTCCATAAAGTCGGCCAGCTGCTGGCCCCTTCGGTTCCGTTGCCCCACTCCAAATTTCCCTACCTTCAGCTCACCGCTTTCTCTTGTGCCTAGTTTTGCGTTGAAGTCTCCCATCAACACCGTGTAGTGGGTTTTGGAGGAATGTATGGCTCTGGAAATATCCTCATACATTTCCTCCACCTCCTCATCGGGATGTGCCGAGGTTGGTGCGTAAACCTGAATGACCTTCAGCGAATACCGTTTGGTGATTCTGAGTATCAGGTACGCGACCCTCGTCGACACACTCCCAATCTTTACAACGTTGTTGACGAGAGACTTGTGGACGATAAATCCGACACCTCCTTGGGACAGATGGTCGCCCTCCCGGTGATAGAACAAGTTGCCGGACTCGAGGATTGCCGTGTCCTCCCCCTCTCTTCGGACCTCGGATAATCCAATAATATGCCAGCGCAACTTGTCTACCTCTTCTTCCAGCTCTAGTATCTTCTCGTCAGTCCTCAGGGTGCGTGCGTTATATGTTGCCAGGTCGAGTCGTCGTAGGTGGCAACCGAACCTCCACCGGAGATTCTTAGCACCCCCTGCCCCGCCGTTACCATGGTCGCCACCGTAGCCAGGAATAGCGGGGCCGCCGGGGACTGGGGGCCGTCTGTTTGTGTATTTATTCATTGGGGGGGATTTGCCATAGTTGCCACGCTTGGCGAGCGGGTTGGCAACCGCAGTTTTTTATTACGTCACAGTTGTTATCAGGAAGATGCTGCTGCCCATCTCCTGCCTGTCTCCCTCTGTCGCCTTTTACGACACCCACGGGAAGATATGGGGTAGTGGATATTCTCAACCGCCACTACACGGCAGCTTAAAGTTTTTAAGTTTGTATAATTAACAAGATGTATTTTATTCGAAATCTTGTATGTAACATACAAAATATAAAATATACTTGTTTGCCTTCACATAAGCCTACGCCAGACAACTGAAAAAAAAACATAAGAAATCACACAAAATTCACAGCTCATTTAGTTAATCTGTCAGTAGTTTATCACTACTCTGTGCGACTGTTTGACCATAGACTACTATGTGTTTGACAATATAAAACATATATATAAATTTTAGCTATCTGCAATCCTGCTCCATACAAACTTTAACTATATACCAAACCTCACACCGTGCACGAAATATGAATAAAAAAATAAAAGAATAAAAACGTCACCATTCGAGAAGTAATCTGAGAAAGAATAAGGTTATTCCATAAAAACGCGTAATCTCTCAAATAAAAACCATCTAAATGTCTGAAACCATTTAAAGACTGTATATCTGTGTACAGTACTAACCTCCTGTATCTGCAGGTTGGGGTCCGGGGAGATGACAGTTCTACTGGAGAAGTCGACTCGTTTTCCGGACAGATTGCCGCGGAACCGACCCTGTTTACCCTTTAGCCGTTGTACCAACCCTCTTCCAGGTTTCTTGGGCTGAAAATATGATAAAGATACTAAAGTATAAATGCTACTACTGGCCAGCCTAGGGTGCAGGTTGGCGAGAGTTAGACGTAGACATAGGTTTTATTGGCATGAATACACTCACAAAATATACATTTACAAGTAAATAAGAACATAAAAACACACAAGATACAAGATGGTAAACAGAATTAGAAGCAAATCTCGGCAAGAGTGAGTGATGTGATGCCAAAAAGAATTCCGTCTCAGCATATGCTACCGCTGGTACCGCAGCAGCGCTGATTTTCAGCGGAGCAGTTAGTAGCTACGGCTTAGAAGTGGGGTAAAGGGAAAGGTGGTCTGCCCTCCCCGCTACATAAGTAAGTCGCCCTATCCTCCGCAATTTTGACATGGCCAGCATCAGCGCAAAAGTGAAACACTGTGAGATAATAGTCGGTGCAAGCCCGACATATCCGTCTTTAGCACTGCGAGGTGTGTGCGAGGTATTTCTCCCACGAGAAGAACCCATTCGTTATCAAGCAACTATTAGATTGTTTTGTACTTTTGACCGTGGATGTAAAAGAGGAGATCCCCCGCTGGGCAATGTGTTCAGTCCGGGCAGCGGCAAATCACCAATACAGCTATTCTATACACACCGCAGTACTTTGATAACGTGTTTTAGCCTTTGGTGCGTCACGCTTGTGGCGCGACGACAGCACCGCCATATACTAAGTTGTCATGTTAAGTCCCAGTGGTCCTGCAACTAGTCATGGGTAATACCACTCTAAACTCTTTATCAAATCGTATCAATGCATTAGAATTGAATATGTATCTGATATTGAATCTATATTTTTCAATATCTATGTATCGGTTGATATCTACGTGATTCTGCAACTCTATTAGGAAATCAGTATTCAGTATGCCGTAGTAGTCAGGCTGCCGGTATTCCTAGTGGTTCTTTTTTTATAGAATAAGGGTGACAAGCAAGCAAAGTCCAAAATGCTGGTGCCTATCTCTTATTTCAAGCAGCTATGCACGTCTAGGGAAAGAGACCAGTATCAATACAACCTAAAAGATCTATTGTGATTGCTGCTATGGCTATAGTTCACTGCTAAGCCCCATGCCTTCAATGAATAGAAGAAGTTGCTTAGCTGTGAGCAATTTCACTTCCTCTGGGCGGAGTACATAGTTTCCCAGATGAGTGTTACAAATGTTTTCGCATTAAGGGTCTGTCACTCTTTACGGCACCCACATGATAGGGTAGCGGAAAACGAGTACACGGTCCTCCTGATGGTAAGTGGATTCTGTGGTCCAGAGACATCTACATAACGTTGTCACCCCTGGGGACTAAATCAGAACGCCTCGCTTCCACGAAAAAGGATCTCCCGGTTCTCGTTACTCACCATACGAAACACAGCAGAATTAAGCCGCTATTTTACGCTAGTATTCTGTAAGAGTGTGGTCCTTCTCCGTTCGAGCCGACTTATTCGTACACCAACCATAATACAGCTGCAGTTTGGCTCTACCATGTAAAAAACACGTCCCACAATGGAGTGTACCTGCATGGAGAGTGGGATGCCGGACATCTCGCTGTTGATGTAGAGTGCAGCGTGCAGCTGCAGGTAGTCCCAGTCCTCCTGCAGCAGCTCGCTCTTGCCGCCACTGGCGATGTGCCGGGCGATCACGTCATTGATCAACAGGATCTCCGATTGTTTCATCGTCAGGTCGTCTTCGTTGCTGCAATTGAGTCGTAATCAAACCTTATTTGAGATAAATTTCAAAAAATTGTTATTTATGATTTTTTACATAGATTAAGGATGTATAGAATACAATATATATAATAAGTGGATGCTGTTATAACTTAAGAACTACAATAGATTTATTGATGTATTTCGAGATTCTATGTATTCCATACAAGGTAGTTGTATCTATGTACTGACCAATGTGTACGTTAAATTCATCGTATAGACATAAGTGCAGTGCATTTGCGCACAACATGTTTCACGTTGCATTTTGCATTGTGTTCATATGCGCCAAGTAGAGATTCAAAATGATTTGAATATCAATGAATAAATATCAATATACCTAAAATTTCGACGCCATACAAATATCGACAATCGATAATATCGAATAACTTCTTATTGATATTTTGCGAATTAAAGAAAAATAATTAGGCACATTTGAAATCTAATTTTATTCATTAAAGATCTACATCTGACAATATTTGTATCAATCGATCTTAATAATAATAATTTGGCAAGCCCCTTGCCATGTATTCTATTTCTGGGCTGTGTAACCACCACAGCCCTGCTTTAAAAAAGGTGTTCTAAGGACAATCGAAGCAACCACAGACTGACTGTATCAAAATGGATCATGGCATTTTCGAAAAGATTAGGGTTTGCATAACGATTTCTTAACCCTTCAAGCGCTATAAAAATCCAATGCAGTCGCATGCGCCCGGCAAATCTCGCACCCACGCAGCACTTAAAACCACTAAAATTTATATTTAGAGACTACTTTTCTATAAAGAAGTTTAGAATTATATAATCTATACAAAATTTCAACTACTTCATTACAAAACGATTTTATTGTATTTTGATAACAAAAAAAACATACCAAGCTAATGTCGGTACTGTGAAAATCACAATTATTTCAATATATATTACACGAAATTATTTACGTAAAAAGATAAATTATATTCACACAAAAACTTTCATTACAATTTTATAATAAAACACTAGAAAAATCCAAAAAATCAACACAATAACATTCACGCGAAAATGGCGTACGAAATGAACGTAGATTATAAATAAATATTCATAGGATAACAGTTTTTTTTATTGCACTAGAGGATTGAGTATTTCATATTGATTATATAACGCCAAACTTCTTCATAGAAAAGTAGTCTCTAAATATAAGTTTTATAGGTTAAAATACTGTGGGTGGGTGCTAGGGATTTGACGGAATATGACCGCGGTCTCATGAGACCGCTAGGGGGTTGAGAGGTTAAATTTACGCGAACACTACACATTGAATAAAACTATTTATACGGATTTTATCGCGTTTAATTAACTTTCAATTTCTGACTTTTCGGATGCTTTAAAGCACCCATGCTCACGGGTTCACTTTTATTCACGGTTAAAGTTTGACTCCTGACCGAGTATCATCCCGTGAGTATCATAAGAGGCAACAGCTGAATTCGAAAACAGGCGATGGGCAGCAGCATCTTCCTGATATTAACTCAAAATTCTCGCCCGCCAAGCAAGGTAACTATGGCAAAATTCTTCCCATGAGGTACTCAATGGGGCAGACCTACGTCAGTACCGGACTTTTATGGGCTGTAATGAAAGGTAATGTTGACGCTTATTGTATGTGTATTGGCAATATCCATAATATCGTATCGCAATGTTGTAATATCGATACTTTAGCTTTGATATAATCAATATTATCGGTCGGCCGGTCACAATTTTTCATTGAAGTAATTATTATAACATGTTATTGTTTACCATAAAAGTAATAAAATCTCATATTACTTTTATTGAAACTTGATAGTTTTTTTTTTTGAGTCTAAAAAACTAAATAAAATTAAGCTGATTGATAAACGGGGTTTTGTGGACTATGGCGTGAGGCGGAAAACCCTTCCAAGATCACCGATTTCAATCTCACATATTGGTGACATCGAATTACATAGGTAAACATTATTTAAAAAAAATATAAACTTACGTGCCGGCCTTGATATCGGAAACGACACTAGGTCGAATACACAGTGGCGGTACGAGCAATCGTGTCAGAATTAGATCCTCGGGACGACAGGCCTTGACGTTCATTCCCAGCAGGGGTATGTCTTCATCTGGGATACGTCGGAAAAGATTCAACACCTGAAAAAACGTCAAGAATGTATAGAATTCATTCATATATTCCCGGGCTACAGGAAATATGATGAATATGTATTTAATAGTCTTTTGCTATTGTGCTGGGTCTGAACGACCGAGTTAGATCACTGAGAGAGACAACTGCCGTTCAAACTGATTACACCTATGGATGTTTGATATTTATGATCAGACATAGTATGAATACACGTAGTTCGATGCTAATATAATTTCAACCAAAGTATGTCTATTTCTATTAGGCTGCTCAAATCGCCATTAAACAGATATACCAAAATCCTTTTGATGTAACTTGGTTACTGTGCCTATTTGAATATTATTACTGTTACAGCCTATTTAATTGACTTGATTGACTCATAGGGGGGATGCTTGCCATATTCAAACATAGTTTTTTTTGTTTTTAATTGATAGTAAGAACACATTGCTGCCCATCTCCTGATTTGTTCCTCTCTGTCGCTTCTTACGACACCCATGGGATGATATAGGCTAGTGGATATTCTCACACCGGCACTACACGGCGCATATTGTATATGTATATATATATATATTTTTTTATATATATCGATACAGTATGATTATGTTGCTTGTAAAAATCATTATGGCTGTGACGGCCTGCAGCAAACCATATTCGTATCCAAAGTTTGTCAATTTCTCCATAACTGCCTCACTTAGCAGACAGATTTATAAACACAGTACCAGACATGTCGCACTCATATAATAATAATAATAATAAAGCTTTATTTCTCTACACATTTACAGAGTTATCAAAATTATAAATAAATACATAGAACTATTAGAAAGTTCTTCTTGTTTTATGTAGTCCCTCTTGGGTAAAAGCCTCCTCCAATTTGAACCACTCTTCACGGTTTTTGGCAATTTGCATCCATTCTTCTCCTGCTATGTTAATAATGTCATCCACCCATCTTTTCCTTTGCCGACCTACACTTCTCTTGCCAAATGGAAAACTTCCATTTTGTTGTTTGGTAGGTCCATCTTTTGTCCTGGTATCTAGCTATGTGTTCTGCCCATTTCCATTTTTGTATTTGACTATGCTGAAGTGCATCTGTTAGGCCTCTGCCTCGAATCTTGCGGGCAGCGGGACGGCAGCGGCGGCGGCGCGGGAGCGGCAGGATCTTACGCGTAAAATCAAATGGACCGACTCTCGAAAACAGCGGCTTGGCAGCGGCGCGGGGGCGGGTAACGAGCGGTGTACTCCAGTCAAGCGGTGACCGCCCGCGCGTCTGTCTGCATTGCAGTGTTGTGCAATTAATTTTTGTGACGTTTCGAAATGTCCTCGGACGTGCAAGAGCAAATTATTTCAGCAATTTTTGAGAGAACACCGATATGGAACAGCAAAGATGTGAACCATAAAAATAGAAGAGTAAATAACCAGTTATGGGAAGAAATTAAAAACGAACTGAATCTAAATCGCCCTTGATAGCTTCAAGAATATAGTCAAAAGTTTCTACGCTCATTCTGGTGTAGTCGTAGAATTTGTCGGGACATTGTCTCTGTTCTTCGTAATTTCGATAAAACTCGGCTTTATTTTTCCTTGCCCTATAAGTAGTAGGGATTCACTTCTTCTTTTGCCCACAGTAAATTGAGCGTTAGAAATAAATTTGAATCAAAAAGATGTTGTCGCCGTTGTTCAGACAACACACCACGAACACATCACTACGCCGCTATAGTGTCGCGCGATCTGCCCGCTAGTTTCGTGAACGGGTCTGCGTTGCCCGCCCCGCTCCCGCGCCGCCGTCGCCGTCGCTCCGCTGCCCGCAAGATTCGAGGCAGAGGCCTTAATTTCGCTTTCTTTCGAATATCTATATTTCTTGTTTTTTATATTCTCCATAGCATGTTGGCAAGACAAAATTTTGTTTTTCACTCTTTCAGTGTACACCCAAGTTTGGCTTGCATATGTTAGACTTGGAAGGATACACAAGTCCATTATGACCTTTTTCATTCTTAGGCTGTAATTTCCTTTGAGAGTTTCTTTTTGAGCCCAATATTTTTTCCACGCTATATTTATTCTTCTGTCTATTTCTTTTTCTGTGTTTTTAGTTCATCATCATCATTATCATCATTACAGCCCTTCACAAGTCTACTGCTGAACATAGGCCTCCCCCAAGTAACGCCACAAAGCACGGTCCTGAGTCACCTGCATCCATCGACTTCCTGCATGTCTTACCAGGTCGTCACTCCATCTAGTGGGGGGTCGCCCTACACTACGCCTACCGGTATGAGGCTGCCACTCGAGAACCTTTCTTCCCCATCGGTTATCGGTTCTTCGAGCTATATGGCCGGCCCATTGCCACTTCAGCTTACTAATCCGTTGGGCTATGTCGGTCACTCTGGTTTCACTGCGGATATCCTCATTTCTGAGTCTATCAAGCAGAGAAACTCCGAGCATAGCTCTCTCCATAGCTCGCTGAGCGACCTTGAGCGTCCTCATACGGCCAGCAGTGAAGGACCACGTCTCAGATCCGTAAGTCATCACTGGTAACACGCACTGGTTTTAGTTTTCAGAGATTGAGGTATACCTGACGAGAAGATGTGTCGTAATTTCCCGAACGCTGCCCAGCCGAGTTGAATCCGTCGATTGACCTCTCATTCGAAGTTGGACTTACCTAGTCGGACTATTTGTCCCAGGCAAACATATGTCTGAGCATAGTGCTCCCAATAACTACCGGCATAGGTGTGACATAGACATTAAACATGATCTTTGTTTTGTCCATGTTCATCTTAAGACCTATCCATTGGGAGACATTATTGAGGTCATTGAGCATAGTGCTAAGGTCCTCCAGCGATTCTGCCATAAGGACTATATCGTCGGCAAATCGAAGGTGAGTGATGTACTCGCCATTGATGTTAACACCGTATCCTTTCCAGTCCAGTAGCTTGAAAAGTCTTCCAACGCAGCGGTGAAGAGTTTCGGGGATATAACATCACCCTGTCTTACACCTCTCTGCAGTTGGATAGGTTTCGAACTCCGGTTCTGTACTCGGATAGCCATTGTAGCCCTACTGTACAAATACTTCAGCACTTCGATGTACCGACAGTCAACTTGGCACCGCTGAAGGGACTGTAGCACCGCCCAAATTTCGACGGAATCAAAGGCTTTCTCATAGTCCACATATGCCAGGCAAAGTGGCAGATAGTACTCTTCGGTCTTCTGTACAATCTGCCGCAGGGTATGTATGTGGTCTATGGTACTGAAGCCTTTTCGGAAACCGGCTTGTTCGGAAGGCTGGAAGTCGTCGAGTCTGCGTGCGAGACGATTCGTAATGACTCTCGAAAACAGCACGTAGACGCGGCTCAGAAGGGAAATCGGTCTGTAGATCTTCAAGAGAGCGTTGTCGCCTTTCTTAAAGAACAAGACCACCGCGCTTCTGCTCCACGCCTCCCGAGTAGTACCACCATGGAGGACGGAATTGAAGAGCTTCTGAAGGACTTCAAGTACCAGTGTTCCACCCGCTTTCAGAAGCTCCGCTGTAATTCCATCCTCGCCCGGAGCCTTGCCTTGTTTAAGATGGTGGAGAGTCATTCTAATCTCGCTCAGACTGACGTCCGGGATATCATCGGAATAGTGTCGAATAAGACACTATTCCGATGATATCCCGTCCCGATCCGATTGTTTAGTTCGAAAGATATCAATTTGCCTAAATATACATAATCATCAACATATCGGTATGTTTGGTAATACTTTATACTAGCAACCTTTTAATTTTTAAAAATATCTTATTTCATTTTTTTTTACAAAACAGTTTTTTACCACAGATAGTTGTTATTACGAAAAAACATACCTCTAATGGACTCAATTCTATGATCAAACCACTATTTATCATTGCTGCTATCTCCTTGTTAGATTCTTTTGCCTCGTGAAAGTTTTTAAGCACATTCTGGACGATTGGATCAGTTGGTTTCTTTGCTCTGTACTTATCGTGTATTATCTTCAGTATTCCAGCGGGGCTCTTTTTGACAATGCCGTTTAGAGAGTCACAATATGGGCACTTTGTACACGTTTTCGCCTTCTTTAGCACAGCCGCTCGCAAGGTTTTTTTGTGTAAGTACGATAGTTCTGGATTTATGAATTTGCGTCTGAATGACTTTTTTATTTTCTCCGGTAACATTACTTTTGCACAGTCCTGTAAAAATAAAAGTTATAAGGTTAGTATCAATTCGGTCTCAAGCATAATAGTTTCACATCCAGTGTGACACATCTACATGGGAAATTCCCAAAAGAGATAAGAATTTTTTTGTTATTTAGTAGGGTTAACTAATTAGTTTCAATTGCAAAGGGGTCAATGATTTGGATAGATATGGAATGATATTTAAATAAATTTCATTCTATATACTCTCAACCTAGATTTAAGCTTTTTCAAATGTAAACTCTTAAGATTTGAAAAATATTGATTTAATAATAAAATAAACTTTATATAGATAAGTTGTATCACTTGTGTATGTATAAAGTTTTAAATTAATAAATTAACAAGTGCCTTTGAAATATAACCATTTTATTAAAATGATAATGCAATGAGATTTCACCATATTGAGTAGTGGTCTTTTATGTGAATGGTCTCCTCTGCTATCTAAATTTAGTACCAGTTAGTGGTAGTGTGACATAGGCCATTTTCACAATGTGGGAAAATGCGTTGTCACCCCTGAGGACTAAGAAGGAATGCCTCGTTTCCAGTAAAAAAGGGTCTCCAGTTATCTCTACACTTACCATATGAAACACAGCAGTATTAAGCTGCTATTTTATGCTGGTATTCTGTGAGAGTGTGGACCTTTCCTGGTCGAGCCGACAGATTCGTGCTACAACAAAAATATAGCTGTAACATGGCTCTACCTACCTTTTGCATTCGAGTCACCCAAACTACTCAAAGAACCCTAGCAACTTTCTGACGTCACCAAAGATCTTGAGTGTCCCCATAAAAGAGTGACCCAGTGCGCTGAGTTACTTAGTCCTTCAGCAGGCAACAAGAATTTGGTAATAAAACAATATAAAAATGCTATTTTACTACATAAGTTTACCTTGCATATAGTCTGCAGTATAGTTATTATTGAACGAAAATAACCAACATGAAACACTGGCAGTGCTAACTCTATATAACCATAGTGACCAACACACTCTGCCAGCCCCAGGCCACAAGTCTCACAGTTGGCATCCTTTTGATTTGTGCCCTAAGGAAACAAAAAGTAAATTAAGTATAACATAACATTATATAAAATATCTTGAGTTTGAAATCCTTAACACACCTTATTAGATTTGAATATTGAGCTTAGAAAATTGGTAAAACAGTAATGCCATTACATTAAAAAAATTGACTATTAATTTTTTTTGACTATTAAAACATGAAACAGAGCAACATTGCTTTCAAAATAGTCCTTTTTTTTATAGAATAAGGGTGACAAACGAGCCCACAGCCCACCTGATGACAAGTGGATCCTGTAGCCCATAGACATTTACATTTACCCTCAATTAAGAATCAAAATTCAGATACATTTTCACCCTGAGGACTAAGATAGAATGCCTCATTTTCAGTAAAAACGGTCTATACTTCAAAAATCTCTTAACATGCAACATTTAGTGGAAGGAAGGTATTGTTTACATTACTCATGAGATTTCATTTACTAATAATAAATATTCCACTTAAAGGCAAATAGGATTAGAATATGATGTATGAACTAATCTAAATCATCATCAATACTGTCTGAAATAGTAAAACAAATTACATACCATGCGTCTGTCCAGTACGCCGTAAGTAGCTGGCATCCTCTGACCATCTTGAGCGTATAAATTCTTTGTAATTACTTGTATATGAGCTGCTTGCTGGATAGCTGATGCACTGTCCACATTGAATGTAACATGAGATCTGAAAGCAATGCAATTTTTTTGTTTAAAGTAAATACTATGTCATAACCAAAGGCTATATGAAGTTTTATTATATTATCAATTTATAAATCACACCCACAACATTTAACAAATACTTTCATAGGAATATAAACTTAAATGTGTAAACATAACCTATATAACTTACATCTTTCTTCCAACGTATGTTTCGCGATACTGTTCTTTTGGCATTGTTAATAATTATTTACAACATCACAATACGAAAACGTAAGCGTTTATTTATTTAAATAACAAGTAAACATGATCTAGGGAATTGTGATTGTGTTATCAAAGTTTATACAAAGGTACTCTGTGCATGAAGCATGAACCATGAACATCTGATTTATTTTTCATTTGTAATGGTAATCTGTGGTTTTCATTTTCATAACTTGACAAATGTACTCCGTGCTTGACAACTTGACGTTGACATTTATACTGGATGGATTCCAAATTAAGTAAAAAATTAAGTGTGTATTGTACAAGAAAGAGAAGAATTGAAGTTATAACGGAAAATTCGCAGTATTTAAGCGTTTAAAAATAAAAAAAATATATGAAAGATTTAAATTAAAAACAACTTTAAGGTTATGCAAACCAATTAAAATAAATTCTGTATGAGACTTTAATATATGTTGCACTCCGAAAATGTCAATTACTACCAAAGTATTCTTATTTATTCTTTTGTTATATTTATTTTATGTACCTACAATTTCGAGGCATAGCTTGCACGAAAACTTCAATAATGAAGGGTTAAGACTCATAGACTTTACCTCATCCAAAGCAATTGTTATTAAGAGCCCAAGATCTTTATGTGGTATGTCGTTCCGGACGTTGCAGCTAAACGCTTTACCACTGCGCTTCCGAACCGCTATTTAACATTTTTTACTAATGTATCCAAAGGCTATGTTTAGACGTAAGAAAAAGTATTTATTTACAGTAGTACAACCCTGATTATTTTACTTTTCATAATTTTACAAGTTGAATGTTCACCGCCGAATTTCTACATATTTTAACAATCTATTTAATCTCATATAATACCACGTATTTATTGATGAACCTACCGTTAATTATAGCAGGGCAGCAATTTGTATGAATAATAATTTTTTAATATTTTGAGGATTTCTTAAGTCTGCCACTAGAACACAAACAATGTGTAAACATTTGTTGCTGATTGATCCTCTTAAGATGAATGTAAATTTTATTACAATTAGATTACACACTGTCTTGTTACAACCACGAGTAAATGTGTAAGATATGCACTACAAGCAGGTAGTAAAGTTACGAGTAGTAACAATTCCAACACACTATCATTATCTTCTTCATCAACAGCCATACATACATTTTACTGCTAAACTTATTCCCCAAATAAATATCGTAAAGCACGGTCTTTAAGCACCTGCATGCATCGCCTTCCTGCAATTTTCTTATCGGGTTATATAACTACACCTATGGGAACTGTCATAAACTTTGCTTACCGTAACGAGGCTGTCTCTCGAGAATCCTTCTTCCTCATTAGTTGTAGGTTCTTTAGCCTATATTGTCAGCCCATTGCCTCTTCAACTTACAGATCCGCTGGACTATATTGGTTACTGGTTCTACTGCGGATATCTCATTACAAAGTCTATCATAGACAAAAACAACGATATATATATATATATATATATATATATATATATATATATATATATATATATATATATATATATATATATATATATATGATGTATATAGCCCTCCCCGTAGCTTGCTGAGCATACTTAAGCTTCCAATGGAAACACGTAGTTTTGTTTCCAAAGTTTGAGGTATATGTTAAGAATAGATGTGTTGTAATCTGCCAACCGCTGCACAGTCGAGTTGCATCGATCGATTGAATTCCAGGTTGAAATTGGACTTTAAGTTTACCTTGGACTGTAGAAAAATTGTCCAATTAGGTAAGTCAACGGCTTCTATTGTAGTGTTCCTAAAATTACCGGCATAGGTGTAACATGGATTTATCTTTCCGTGCGTTTACAATCTGGGCAAGAGTGAAAATAGGCTTTTGTAATTATTGTTAAACAAAGAAAGTGTAATTTATCATCTAGGGCTTCACAACTTACCACAAGGGCGGACTTTAGTCAAGCACTGGCCTATAATAAGTTAAAAAAAATTAGAAACGATAATCCTCACCTTTATTGATCACTAGATTACAAGTGTTCAATATATTCCATTTATTTGAAGCATTGTCTTGTTGTTAACCTTTTAAGCTAAATCAACACCCTCTTTTTTATTCACCCAAATTAAATTGAAATTTGTAAATCAGCAACTTTGAATTATTATATATTAACGTAGCCCCTTTTTACTAACACTATATTATTTAATATAGTGTTAGTAGATGACACTGGAATAAACTCGTAAGTCATCAATATGTTAAATTGTGTCGAAATTTTGACTTTCAGCCCACTTTTAAAAAAGGAGAAGGTTAAAATTCGACTATGGTTTTTTGTAAATATGTCACCTCTTCTTCATCTTATGAATTTTTGTATCGATTTTGATGTCTATTTTTTTATTAAATAGTTAAATATTTCATGCTTCAAGGTTGATTCCAAATAAATTTAAAAGGCAATATTCCATCCCTAAGGATTGAAAAATAGTGAGTGAAGTTTTTAAAGAAACCATTTAGACGACATTGAGACTGTGATATTCTTTAGTCAATGGACTAGGGAATTTTAGGTTTTTTAACTCTTTTGAATGCAAAAGGGTTAAAAAAACAACTTTTCATTAAAAGTAAGAGCGGACATTCTGAAGTTTTTACTTTAATTATTCTATACACTATGCCGTAGCACCGACTTCTTCTTCTTCGCCTTCCTAGACTTGTTCTCCTCGTTTAAATGCTAAAGATAGTCCGACTTGACACAAACTGGATCCGGAATTAAGGATTTAAAATAGGTTTTTTTGATGCTATTTATAATTACTAAATTTGCTTTATTTTACCAATGTTTATTTTTTCATTAATCTTTTGTTTATATCGCTCTTATCTTATCACTCCTTTTGTATCCCTCTCACGTAAAGGGAGATTCCTTTGACACTGCAGCCCGACAATCCTGGATATACCGAGGTTCTAGATATTTTATGTCTGTCATAAATGAGATGATAACGCCGTGAATATTTTTTTGAATTTCCCATAGTTACCTCTAAGGATATCAAGGTTATTAAATGGAACGATGGATTCTTTTACGATGCATCCACACGGCATTCTTTATCTAATGATGTTGTAAATGAAAATAACTTTATTTTAATCGGTCAGTTTTTTACTTCTTTATATGTAGTTAACCCCTCAAAGCTTTGTAGTAATAAGCCACTTTAATAAGCTACTGTGCGTATATGTTTTTTTATAGAATAAAGACACACAGCTACCTGAAGGTAATTGGATGCTAGGGCTAGGCTAGTGTTTAACACTTACATATTAAAACGTAGACAGAAAAACCTATAGACTAATGATTAGCGTGGCCTAGAGTGAGAAAGGACGATAACGTAGTTTTAGATTATACAATAATCTTTATGACTTTTAAACATATTTAGATAAAAATTTTAATTCCAAGAACTGAACAAGATTCACCAATCTTAAGCATGCAAAACACTTTTTTTTTCTCACTTAAACCAACTTGTATATCTTTAGATTGCTACAAACTGTCAAAGTTGTTTAGCAAAGTAGTTTGTTAAAGAAAAAACTGGCACGGAGAAAGGGACAAACAATCACACCGCTCTGTCTCATTTCGATGCAAGACGTATGCATAAATCTATCTTTTTCGTGTGCGAATGCGAAAGAAGGCGTCAATTTTTCTATAGGTTTCTCTGTCTACGTATTAAAAGGCCTGTCACCCATTTTCTCTTACTTTTCGTTATCTCTTTTTACGATATTATATTTTGTATAATTTTCACACACAATATAAGCTAGTTAAATGAGAATTGCCTCAGAATTTATTTCCTTTGTATATTGTTTTCTAATTGTTTGTACAGTAGTGAACGCATTTTTAACTTAGCATAATGACTCTTTCAACGAGTTATAACGTTTTATAAAATACGGTAGTGATCAATTATGTTTTTTCTTATAAATATCACGTTTTAAATACCTTATTAATATATATTAAAATAATGTTAAGTATTTAAAATTTACCCGTTTCAAAAGTTACCAATTAGTAGACTCCATACAGTGTCCCAACACATTTCATATGTTTCTGGCGTAAAAAGAAGCGCAGAGCGCGCCGTTTTTTGGCTTGTCAACCGAAACCACGCAACAATTTTTCCTGTAGTAATCTTGATAAATGTTATTAATTTTCTAATGTTCCATTTAAAATAATATAACTATCAATGTGGCGTATAGAGTTTTGTGTAAAACTTCAAAAGTGATAATTTAAATCATATTGAGACTCGTTTTCCCACCGTAGTGACCCGCGAACTCTTAACATGCCTCTATTGAAAAGAAAAGCCTTTGAGAAATCGACGGTGTCTGAGTACCTTCGCGACGATGACGAGGTCTTCCATTGCGAGATCACCGACGAGATATTTAAGGATTATGAGTGAGTTTGTTTAGATACAAATATTTTCGCGCATTTCTCGTGTTCTTGTGAATAAAAGTGTAGATATCAGTTGAGAGAGACCGTTGACATTGCTTCCGCGCGGCTGCTCGCATATTAACGCAAGCGTGACATAATGTGTCGTAGTTTCATTAAATATATTGAAATTTTGCAATGTTTATTGAACTATATTATTCCTTTTTTTCTTCAAGGGAATACTGTGAGAGGATTATATTGGTTAATTCCATGGTGTGGACATGTGAGATGACGGGGAAGAACAACTTAACTTATGCAGAGGCATTGGAAAGCGAGAAAGCTGCAAGGAAATCTTTGAAAGACTTTCCCATGGAGCTTCGCATACCAATTCTTTACTTAGCTTCAAAAACCAATAGAAGTTCTTTTGCAGAGATGTCAGAGGATGTTTTTAATTTTGTAAGAGAAAGATATTTTGTTGGGGAGTCAGTTGAAGCATGTCTTGAAGGTGACTTGTGGCGTGAGGCTCACATTCTGTCAGTAACAGCTCAGAAACAACATCCAGGAAGGTATATAATTATTTAGTTATTTAATCAGTTATATTTTCCTGTCACTATATATATTTATCTAATTAATATTAAATAAAATAATTAGGGGTCACCCTACACT